TGCTTCGATCCCTCCAATCCCATCACCGACTTCTGGCCACTTGTCCGTGCGTGCAACCTCACCTCCCCGTTTGATGCTCGGTCTTGTTTTACCTGCCGGTGCCCCAGGAAAGTTGAAGTATCGAAAACGCAAGCTGACCTTCGGGCGCCCTTCGTCAGTGCAATCTCCACCCTCCGTCAACCTGCGAGCCCGATCCTCCAAAGAAGCTTCAGCCGACCCTGCAGATGACGACGGACCCTTCCCGCTCACCGTCCCCGAGCTCCCGTTAAAAGCAAAGGAGCAATGGCAATGGCACTTCCCATGGCTGCTAATTTCCGAGACCTCGAAGGGACGACCTTGCATGAAGTGCAGCATCTATATTGCGTATGGTGATGACCCTAACTACCAGTACGGGCGCAACGGCGAAGAGGGGATAGACATTAAAAAACAAACGATGCGCAAGCACTATCACAGCCAGAAGCATGAGGCGGCGATGGCGCGGAAGGAGCAGAAGCATGGCAAGAACGTGAAGAAGAAAAGCATCATCCTCTACGAGAACAGCGATGACGAGGCCAAGCGTCTGAAACGTCTCATGGCTATTGTCATCTTCATTTGCAAGTCGGATGCCCCTGCTGTTCTTGTCACTTGTCCAGTTCATGGCACAGTAGGGTACACGTGACCTGCATGTGAAGGACAACATGACATATCAAAGCGAGTGAGCATTGCTCAAGTTGCTTTACTTTTCAAGCTGGTTTGATTCTTAAAAATATCATTGAATTCTAACATTTGGAAACTCTGGTCGCAGGTACGGCTTCAATCAAGTGGTGGAGAACATCATCTCCTACCTCTGCGCCAAACAGATGACTCACATCAAGGCCTCTCCATTCCTCGGCATCCAACTCGACGAGTGAACCGATCGTTGTCGTGGTAAACATATGATTGTTTACCTGACATTCCTCCGCGGCACTTCGGTGGTGACCGAATTCTTCGGGCATCTCACTGTCGAGAAGTGCGACGTAGCTTCTCTTCAAGCTGTTCTACTCACTCACTTGGAGTCTCAAGGAATTGACCTCAACAAGATATATGGCATAAGCATTGACGAGGCCAGTGTGATGACGAGAGCACAAGCCGGTCTCATGGCTAGGCTACGTACTCGGATTCCGCACATGGTATCATGTCACTGTATCGCTCATAGGTAAGTATGACCTTCCGCCGATCTGCTTTGCTCCTTTGATTTGCACAATACATACAACTAAATGGGTGGTTTCAAGAATGTGCAGGGAGGCCTTAGCGGCAAAGGACACTGTTGACGACTTTCCTGACCTTGGCATCGTCGACAAACTCGTGCGCTTCCTTGGTCATTCCATCATCGTCCACAATCGCTTCAAGGAGCTGCAGGAAGTTGTCACCGAAACCAACCTGGAAATACAAGGCATCCATCAGATTCGTTGGCTCATTCGCGGTGAAGCTATCCAACGCCTAGTGGAAGTATTCACTGCCGCCATCCTGTTGCTGTACAAGTATGATAGGCGCATGTACAGCGTTGTCATCTTGTAAGTCCCACTTCTTGCTCTACTTCTTGGCGGATGTGCTGAGGGAACTCAACGCGCTCAACCTCAGTTCCAACGTTGCCAGATGAGGTTGCCAATTGATCGTCGAAGTTATAGTAGACTATAGATTAAAGCATAAACGTGTCTCCTACTTTGTGTTATGCTTGGCAAGTCGACGTCACGCAGGTGCTTAGGATGGTCGACAACACAGTCATGCCCTTGCGCGCCCACTACGTCAACCACGGTTCCCAGTTCGGCCCTGGTGATGGGGACTTCGCGGATTTCTTGAAGCTCTACGCAGGGGGGGGGGAGGGGGGGGGGGAGGATGTGACGATAGAGGGGATTGATGTCCATGGGACCCCGACAGTACACACCTACGAGCTACACGTGCGGTCGCTGGAGGGGCAGAGGAGCAAGGGGGATCTCAAATCACTGAAGCAGTTGGCAACGGATATGGTCAACGGCATCATCGACCACCTTCAAGAGCGCCTCACCGACTGGTCGAAGCTGAACGGGACAAGACTCTTCAAGCAGACAATGTACCCGTGATCAACGGCTAGGCGCCAGCGAAAGTTCCTCGAGTGGCTGTAGTCTCTGCGCGGCCTCTACAAGCATGACGTGTCGGCGCCTGACACCCCGGTGAGTTTTGGCGGTGTCAATGTGCCTGTTTACCCTTTTCACTCTTTAATCCATTTGTGGTGGATGGTACGAATAAACCATGTACTTTTTGCGTGTATTCCACCCTCGTCATGTGTGCACTGGGGTAAGGCGAAGGTAGAGCTCGTTAGCTTCATGACAATCATGTCGACGAGCTGGGCTTCCATGAAGCACTCAAGAACATGCTGTCCACGCCGGACTGGATGACCGCCTACCCCAACCTAGTGCTCATCTGGATCTCCTGCGCCATCCTTCCACTCAGCACAGTGGAGTGCGAGCGCGGGTTCAGTCGCTAGAACGTCATAAGAGCTGGCAGTGCGGCAATCTCGGCGACACGAAGCTAGGACATCTGATGACAGTCTCGCTGTTGGATTACCCAATGATCTGGTGCGGTGCGAGAAGAGGCAGCCTGCCAAGGAAGTAATGATGGAGCAGAGCGAGCGGCAGGCGAAATAGCCGAAGAAGTCGGCAGCACTGAGAGCAGCCAAGACAGCAGCTAAGGCAACAGCAGAAGCAGTCAAGCAGGCAGAAGCTCTAGCCACAGCAGGAGCAGCCTGGGCCTTTGAAGAGGATGGTGCGGCTGGCCCTATTTGGAGGAGGAGAATCAAGGGTAAGAAGATCCACGTCCCAGAGTCCGAGAGTGATGAAGATATTGAGGAGGCATGCACTTATTGTCAAAGACTAGGAACTAGGACGCCATGAAGGTGGCGTGAGGTTTTAGGAGCTAGGAGAACTAGGAGAGAGATTTGACGAGAGAAAATTGGGTTGACTAGGAAGAGAGAGGGATACAAGGAGGGGTGTTGTACCCTCTACAGTAATGTTCAGTAACCGCTACCAAGCCTACAATTATATACTAACATGTATAATTTAACACACCCCCTAGGCTTGGTAGCAAGGACCCACACACCCCCACACCCCCTAACCTAGCACCCCCATTCCCATCAGCCACGTCTACTCCAGCTGGGCCAACCCCAAGGCCCTGGAGATGGCGACGGCGGCAGTCCTGGCAGCGGCGACAGCGACGGCGACGACGGGCGTGCGGCGGCAACAGGCCTGCGGCGACGACAGCGGCGACGGCGACGGCTTCGGCTTACGACGGCGGTAACGGCAGCGGCCCCCGCCCTTCCGGCGGCGTGTCCATACTCCACGACAGAGGGACGACTGGCGAGAGTCAGGCAACGGCTGTGGCGAAGAGGAGGGGACGGAGGGAAGGGGGAAGGGGTGGGGCTTCGGATCTTCACCGCGGCGCCATTGCAGGCGCGGCGCTTACTGGCGTGCGGGCGGGCTGCAATTCCAGCAGCGACGCAGGTCGTGCGCGACGGCAACAGGCCGGCGTCACGGCCGCGGCACCACGACGACGCCACCACAGCGTGGCGTCAGAGCCGCGGCTGCTCGTCGACGCTGGGACGACAGCACACAAAGACCGCCGCGGCATCTTGGAAAAGATGCCACGGCGGCAGGCAGTAGGAAGGCCGCGACGGCGGCGAATAGGGAACGAGAACGCAGCGGAAGCGAGGAGGGGAGCAGGCTCAGGACGGGCGTCCTGCTCTGAAACCATGTCAAAGACTAGGAACTAGGACGCCATGAAAGTGGCGTGAGGTTTTAGGAGCTAGGAGAACTAGGAGAGAGATTTGACGAGAGAAAAGTGGGTTGACTAGGAAGAGTGAGGGATACAAGGAGGGGTGTTGTACCCTTTACAGTAATGCTCAGTAACTGCTACCAAGCCTACAATTATATACTAACATATGTAATTTAACACTTCTGACTCCTCATCGAGCGTCTAGTGTAGCTACTACAGCTAATTTATAATGTAATGTAGTGTAAGGTGCAGCACCAGTAGCAGCAGCACTAGTAGCAGCAGCACCAGTAGCAGCAGCAGCAACACAAGTAGCTGTAGTTCTCGTAGAAATTGTGTAGATGACATGTATCATTTGCATGTAGCACTGGACCATAGTACCTCAATTTCATCTGAAATGTCAGACCAACTCTCTATCGTGGCACCAGGACCGGCCCCTAGATTGCAGGAAATTTTTCCTGATTCAGGAAAAAAACAGAGATGCTGCTGGTACCAGTCCTGATTGTCCAGGATTTTTTGAAAGGCATTTCCTGTTTTTTCAGTCTTTTTTGGGGGGTCAACTCTGAGTGCTAAGCAAAGTTTTCTTTACGAATCCTGAAATTTCAGTTTTGCAACGAAACTGTACATGTTTCCGTCAATGCGTGACTTGGGGGCCTGCAGAGATTTCCGAGGTTCTGGCCTGCCCTCCAGGCTCTGTGAGGGCGCTTATTGGCCCTTCACCAAATTCGTGGCTCGACGCGTGGGGGCACTGTGAGGGAGGGCACTTGGCCCTTAGCCAAATTTTGGGCCCGATGTTTGCCTTAGAGCTCTGTATGGGCGAAATTTCCCTCGGCCCCTGCAATCTCGCCCACCTGACCCGATTCATCCTGCAAGCATGAATTCGCTACTAAAGCATGCACTAAGAACCTCAGAAGTCAGGAAAGACTCCATAAGTAACTCTGTCTGCTCAGGAAAAAAAAAAAAAACGAGTCCTGATTCACGAGGATTTTTTTGGGACCAACCCTGAAAAATCAGAGAAAAACTCGGGGAATCCTGATTCCTGAGCGATCAGGACTCCTAAAAACCAATCTAGGGGCCTGCACCGGGATAACCCTGTCGATCCTCTCTCTCTCTCTCTTGGGAGGGTGCTGGGGAGGCTTTCCTTTGGGAAGGTGGATATATGGAAACTAACCCTCCTGATGATATCCCTTCTTGTCCCAGTGGTTAGGACTGGAGACTTTATGACACTCTAGTTTCGTCTGAAATGGCAGACAACTCAAAATTTTTCATATGATGGTCAGACCAAACTTCGAAACCCCGTCTGATTCTCACACAGGCCAAGATCCTAGCTGAAACCCTGCCCAACAAGTCCCCACGAAAGAGTTTTGAGACTTGCACTTTAAGATCCAGTGGCGAAATCAGCTGCCCTAGCATTGCCCTCACCAAGTACGTGGCCTCTCCCACCCACCACCGCACCACACTCAGAGCAACGAGACTCCACCCAAGCCTGGCCACAATCCCCTATGACGTACACGTGCCCATTGGGGCATCGATACCAATGCCCCGTTCCCAGCCCCATTGCATTGAACACTTCACCCTTCTCCCGCTCTGTCAGGGAGAAGTAACGGGGCTCGTCCCGAACAGATGCCTCCAGAGCACGAAGCTCCTTGTTGAGCAATTTCCGGGCACTCTTTCCAAGCTCGTCATTTTCCCTAATTGAGACAAGGTGGTGAGAGGCCACCATGCCACACTGAACCTTGGCCTTCTCAAGATACTCCAGCTGCTGCTTCTTTGGTCCACCCTGCCACAAGAGAGCCATTCCACAAGCATAAGCCCCTTACCGCACTGTGTGTACATGTGAGCGACGTCTGGGGAGCTCGATTACAAGCAATGGTGTAAAAGCCCCTTGCAGACAAGGAGAATGAAAGCAGCTCCGCTATTACGTTAGCAAACAATGAGGGAGGCTAAGAGCAAGATTCTTACAAGGCCAGCAGGGGAGTTGGAGAGCAGGCGTTCCGCCATCATGCCTTCCACGAACGCACGGAACACGTCAACCAGCTCCAGCCGTGCCCTGGCCTCCAGTCGATGCGCCTTGCGCTTGCCAGCCCACTCCACCGCCTCCCCCACATACTTCTCCGCATTCTTCAGTACCATATGCAGCACCGCCCTGCAATTCTCCAGCTGGCGAGTCAACTCAGTGTGGGCCGGTTTCCCTGAGCTGCTGCTCTCACCGCTCAACTCAGAAATCCTTGGGCTCGGACCAGCCACATCCCGGAGCTTCCTTAGAAGGCAGCGCAGCTGGAGGAAGTTGGCAGCCATGAGCAGCTGGTACGCTTTCCCCAGCATCATAAGCGATTCACAGAGCGGGCGGGGATCAGGCTGGGGGACATAGAGCAGGTGACACTCCTCTTCCCATGTTGACGCAAGCGGGGTTTCACCCAGCTGAAGATGCTTCCTCTGGATTGCAGCTATTGAAGCCTGGTACGTCTGCTGGGTCGGAGGCTCCATGGAGGTGAACCGCAGCTTGTTCGTTTCTGTGACCAGATAAGTCGCAGCTTTTGCCAGCTCCTGTAGCTGCTTCGGCTGAGCAGCCTCAGAGCAGGCGGACACAGCTCGGCTCAGCTTGGAGAGTTTACCCTGGAGCTTCTGCTGGTCGGCCAAGCAGCTGAGAGCAAACTTGCGCTCTGATTGGTCCAGGAGGGCCTTGTTGACCATCCGGCCATACCGGCGGAAGCCTGTGATTGGCTGGCGGCACTCCGGGCAGCCCTTGAGAGCAGACAGATTGCCATCTTCAAACGGCAGCACCACCACCCACTTGGCTCCAGACCCCTCTGCAGCACCACTGCTCGCAACAGACCCACCCCCATCACCAGCACTACAGCTGCCAGGTGATCCTTCAGACTCCAGATACACCTGGTTGAGCCCCAGGTGCCCATCCAGGGTGTCCACCGTATAAGCATGTCCGCACGCCAGCACAAGAACGGGGCTCTCTTCGGGATCGATCTCCCCCAGCGTCTCCAGAGTCACCAGATCCACCGTCATCTCTCGCTTCTCCTGCGCACCACACCCAGCCGCCGTGCAGAACGCCTTTGGGGGGCACTTCTCCCCGCACAGCGACGGGCACTGGTGCCCGCACTTGAGCGCCTTCTCACACCGCCTGTCGCACGGGAGGCGGTCGCACGGCGCCCCGCAGGGCAGGGAGCACGCCCCCTGGTGCTTGCAGTGCCAGCCGCAAGGCTCGGCGCACGGAGCGCAGGTTTGGTGGCAGGGCTGGGGGCAGGAGCTGTGCTGGCAGGCGACCAGGCACTTTATGTTGCATGGGTTGCAGGCTCGGCCGTTGTGGCAAGTGTCGGGGCAAAGGTGACCGCAGGGGAGGGGTCGCTTGCATGGCTGGGTGCACTTCTTGTGCTTCTTCTCCGGCTGCTGCTGCTGCTGCTGCTGGTGCTGCTGGTGCAGTACCCATGCCTGTGTCTGGTCTGTGTTGGCCCCTGGAACAATGATGCAGTGGCCGCAGGGGGAGATGCACGTGTGCCCGCAGGAATCCGAGAGAAAAACGCCGCAGCGGGCTGTGCAGAGCTTAGGGTCGCTGACTCTGGTAGCGGCCTCACTGCACTTGACAGTCTGCTTGTGGCCGCACAGTGGCATTGTGACTTCAACCATTGCCCTGCCAACACAGAGGGGGTTGCGGTGGGGAAAGGGGAGGGGGGAAAACGCCGCAGGGGGCTCAGTAGCAGCAGAAATGGTACTCAGAAGTAGCAGAAGCGGTACTCAGAAGTAGCAGAAGTGATACTCAGTAGCAGCGACGAATTCTGAGCTTGGAACCACGGAAATTGAGAGCAAGGGAGGCGGAGGCAGAAAAAACAGCAATAGACAGCCGGGAAACTCACGAGCAGAAAATGGCAGATGGCTTCTGAGCTTGGAAGCAGAGAACGTTGAACGCCTGATGGCCACAGGGGAGCGTGAGCCCCTTGATAGTGACGGTGCAGGGCCCACAGACCTCCCCACACTGCTTGGGACATGTATGCTGGTGCGGGCACTCCTCCAGAGGCCGGATTCGGTTGCACTCCTTGGGGCAGAACGCATTGGCATGCGCCCTGTCGTCCCCATGGCACCTGGTGGGGGCAATAGATGCAGGAAGTTTTCTCTCTTGAGTAAACTCAAACGACACTTCAGACTTGTTGGAGCGAAGTATCCACAGAAGGCACTAAATGATTTCCAAGGCGCCCCTCACAACAAGCAGTGAGCGTGAGCTTAGAGTGCAAGTATAAGCAGCACAAGAGCAGGACAAGTGTAAATATCAGCTCCAAACGTGGTGCAAGTTTCAACACGTGGTGTCACCTACAGGCAGCGGTCCCTACAGCACCGAGGGGATAAAGCTACCCTACACATGGCATTGCGCACATGGCATTGCGCACATGGCATTGCACACATGGCATTGCGCACATGGCATTGCGCACATGGCATTGCGCACATGGCATTGCGCACATGGCATTGCACACATGGCATTGCGCACATGGCATTGCACACATGGCATTGCGCACATGGCATTGCGCACATGGCATTGCGCACATGGCATTGCGCACATGGCATTGCGCACATGGCATTGCACACATGGCATTGCACACATGGCATTGCACACATGGCAGCCACACGGCATGCATGGAGTGCAAGCACGGTACTCACCAGCGAGGGCAGGTGTGGCGGGGTCGTTCACACATAAATGCCTTATGTGATAGCTTGTGGGAATTCTCACTTGCGAGGCACGTGGGGATTCTGACCTGCGCGGGCAGGTGTGGCCGCACGGAGTGAGCCGGAAGCCGCACATCTCGGAGCAGCCGCCCTCGCTGACCTTCTCCCTGAACTCCCTCGCGCCATGGATGCGCGTCACCGTGGCAGGGTGGTTCACACACCGCAGCGGGATGAACCTCTGGATGCCACCCCTGCCCTGCAGGATGTCCAGGATTCTCGGCCAGAGCGACTTGGAGCATGCCCGCATTGTGCTGGCGTTGCCTGAACCAGCAGAGAAAAGGTGGAGAACAGAGAAGCAGCAATGAACCTCTGAATGCCACCCAGCTCTGCAGGATGGCAGGGAGCGACCCTCGGCCAGAGCGACTTCGAGCATGCACGCACGGTGTTGGCATTGCCTGAACCAAACAAATAGTCGAGCAGAGGAAAGGTAGTGAATAAAGGAGGAGGAATGGGCTCTGAATGCCACCCCAGCTCTGCAGGATGGCAGGGACTCTCGGCCAGAGCGACTTGGAGCATGCCCGCACGATGTTGGCATTGCGTGAACCAAACAAATAGTCGAGCAGAGGAAAGGCAGAGAATAAAGGAGGAGGAATGAACCTCTGAATGCCACCCCTGCTCTGCAGAATGTCCAGGATCCTCGGCCAGAGCGACTTTGAGCAAGCCTGCATCGTGTTGACGTTTCCTGTGCTCATAGAGTGATTTCGGGTTAAGGGTTGGGGTAAAGGGAGGAATGGAAGGGAGAATGCCCCCATGGTGTTGGCGTTGCCCTGGGCTCAAGGAGTGATTTCGGGTTTAGGGTTGGGGTTAAGGGAGGAATGGAAGGGTGCGAGACAGAGGGGAGCTTGCCACGCCGGGGCAACTATCTCATGCTCTCCAAGAGAAGGAAAGAAAACGGCGCTCGTCAGCATGTCGGGTTCCTGTGACAGTAACAAAATGCTCTTATCCATAAAAGCATGTGTATGCACAGCTAGAAAGTGGCAGCTGGAATGCAAATACTCACCACAAATGCACATGACATGCGTCAATACTCACCAATGAGGTACATGCCATGCTTGGAGCGGGAGAGCAGCACGTTGGTGCGGTTGGGGCTCTTGAGGAACCCAACCTTTCCGTCCACGTTGTTGCGCACGAGAGAGATGATGATCACCGTGCTCTCCTCGCCCTGGAAACTGCACACAGCTCACACAGCAGCAACAAGGAGAAGGAAAGTCTCACAAAAATTCCGCTTTTACTGACCAAAGCCGAGTGAGTTGATGATCGCTGTTCTCTCCTCGCCCTGGAAGCTGCACACAGCTCACACACATAGCAGCAACAACGAGAAGCAAACCTCTCATAACCCCACTTGGTCAAACCAAAGCGCACTGAAATGATGATCACCACCGTGCTCTCCTCACCCTCGAAGTTGCACATAGCGCACATGGCACACAAGAGTCTCTCAAGACTCTGCATGAGATGACAATCCGCCTTGGGAAGGAAGGGCTTTTAGAATTCTCAAAAACAAAATCTGCCCTGACCTGCTAACTAACAACACAAGCAAAGCAAGTTGAGTCTCCACTCTGTCACACTATCTCTCCACTCCGTCACACTATCTCTCCACTCTGTCACACTATCTCTCCACTCTGTCACACTATTTCTTCACTCTGTCACACTATCTTTCCACTCTGTCACACTATCTCTCCACTCTGTCACACTATCTCTCCACTCCGTCACTCTATCTCTCCACTCTGTCACACTATCTCTCTATTCTGTCACACTATTTCTTCACTCTGTCACACTATCTCTCCACTCTGTCACACTATCTCTCCACTCCGTCACACTATCTCTCCACTCTGTCACGATATCTCTCCATTCTGTCACACTATCTCTCCACTCAATCACACTATTTTTTTACTCTATCACACTATCTCTCCACTCTGTCATACTATCTCTCCACTTTGTCACACTATCTCTCCATTCTGTCACACTATCTTTCCACTCTGTCTCACTATCTCTCCACTCTGTCATACTATCTCTCCATTCTGTCACACTATCTCACCACTCTATCACACTTTCTCTCCACTCTGTCACACTATCTCTCCACTCTATCACACTATCTCTCCACTCTGTCACAAACTCTCTCCCAGACTTACTTGTCAACGGTTGCCAGCCGAACCGCATCCTTCAGATTAGCCGTGGTCGCCTTGGGCGCAGCAAACCCCAGCCCCAGCCCTTTCCCCTCCCCAGCCGAACCCCCCGCCGCCTCTCCGCTCCCACCACCCTCCATTCCAGATCCACCTTCCCTAGTTGCCGCCTTCTCCTCGGCCTCCTCCACCACCTCAACATCGCCCTCCCCCAGGCGCACGTTGACCACGTGAGAAAGCGCCTGGCGCAGCTTGAGAAGCTGCCCCACGTAGGGCGTGAGGATGGTGATCTCGCCCCCCGCGTACCCCTGCTGCAGCAGGTACGTCGCCAGCCCCACCACCAAGGCCGCCTCCCCCACGTTCGACTTGGACTTGCCCTCGCTCAGGTCGTCCCCGCCGCTCTCTGGGCTCTCATGGTCCCAGAAGTGCAGGTTGGATGCCATGCCTCTAACGTCAGGGTACCTGGGGAAAGGATGGATAGAAATGGAGGGATGAACGATCACTCGAGTGTTTCCCCTTCTCAGGTCGTCCCTTCCACTCTCAGGGCTGTCATGGTCCCAGAAGTGCAGGCTGGACGCCATGTCACACACGTTGGGATACCTAGGGAGGGATGGATGGACGGATGGACGGACGGACGGACGGATGGACGGATGGACGGATGGATGGTCCTTTAGTCATGCGTACATACAAGGCGCTATATAAAAAGGGGCAGAGTCTGAGTCAATAGAAAAGTTTATATCAAAGAACATTTATGAGGCACAAAGATTGCAGAAACCATCTACATACCCCTCGACGAACGGATGGTCCCTGAGGTCCGGGTAGATGGTACTGCGGATGAGGTCGGCGATCTCAGGGCGCATGCGGCGCTGGGTGGCGAGGGTGAAGACGGGGATCTGCTTGGAGAGCGCGAGGCGCTCAAAGAGGGAGACGTCCAGGTCGAAGCCCTTGTGGGAGTCCTTGCTCAGCTCGTACACCTCCACCTTGGGCCGCAGCTGCAGGTGGTCGCCTGCCAACAGGGGAGCAAGCAATGGAACATAGACAAGGCATTGAGAGGGGTATGAGGAGTAAGGTGAGGCGCTCATGGAGGAAGCCCTTACTCAGCAGCAGGTGGTCGCCTGTCAATAGGGAGGGTAGGTTTGAAACGGGTTCACAATGCATCACGGGATCACATAGTCCGTCCGTGCTCAGCTTGTACACCTCTACATTGAACCGCAGCAGCAGGTGGTCGTCTGCCAAGCGGGGTGCAAGGGATGGAACATAGACAAGCATTGAGAGGGGGGTATGAGGAGAAGGTGGGGCGCTCAGTGACGGAGCACTTCTTGACAGCTGCTCGTACACCCGCAACTTGGGCCGCAGCTGCAGGTGGTCGCCTGGTGGCAGTGGCACAAGCATGGCTAGGGGATCAATAAAAGGATCCATAGAGGGCTAAGTGCTTAGAGGGAGACCTCATGCTCAGCTCGTACACCTCCACCTTGGGCCACAGCTGCCGGTGGTCGCCTGCTAACAGGGGCGCAATGAAACATGCACAAGCATTGAGACTTCTGCACTGAAAGAACAATGCATATGAGCTGAGGTGCTCACAGCCACAGCGTGTGCCGTACCTACGAGAATGACGTGCTGCACCTGCAGCACGAGAACATGCTGGGTCTGCAGGGTAAGAGACGTGAGTCTTTCCATACCTATGAGGATGACGTGCTGGATCTGCCGTACCTATGAGGATGACGTGCTGGGTCTGCCGTACCTATGAGGATGACGTGCTGGGTCTGCCGTACCTATGAGGATGACGTGCTGGGTCTGCCGTACCTATGAGGATGACGTGCTGGGTCTGCCGTACCTATGAGGATGACGTGCTGGGTCTACCGTACCTATGGGGATGACGTGCTGGGTCTGCCGTACCTATGAGGATGACGTGCTGGGTCTGCCGTACCTATGAGGATGACGTGCTGGGTCTGCCGTACCTATGAGGATGACGTGCTGGGTCTGCCGTACCTATGAGGATGACGTGCTGGGTCTGCCGTACCTATGAGGATGACGTGCTGGGTCTGCCGTACCTATGAGGATGACGTGCTGGGTCTGCCGTACCTATGAGGATGACGTGCTGGGTCTGCGGTGTGAGCGAGGTGAGGATGTGGGCCTCGAGCACCTCGGCCGCCTCCTCCACAATGACGACTCGCGGGCCGAGAGCAGTGATGAGGCGCTGCATCTTCGCCACGCCTGACGTCGTCATCCCCACCACCTGCGCCCTCCGCAGCACCTGCAGGTCCTCCACCTGCTGCAGCTCGCTGCGCTCCCTCACCTTCCTGCTCACGCACACCACACGAACCAGGCATATCATACAGAGCTTAGCATAGATTACCACCTGCCTCCTCAGCACCTCCACAGTCCACCTGCCTCAGCTCGCTGCGCTCCCGCACCTTCCTGCTCACGCACACACACATTTAGAGAGATAACTACGAGAACAACTACAAGAATCCCAGGGCACAGACCTAATACTCTCTCGCGACGGATCCTTGCAAGCATTCAGTCCAGCCCGCTGCTGGACTCACCACCGCCAACCAGCAACGCACCTTGAATAGCTCTCAACTTCCGCCTGAATGGCAGCATTGGCCGTGGCCCGCACCTCCCCCACCCAGTGCTCCACCAGCTTTCTCCTCTCCTGCGCACTCGTCGCCCATGGGTCCTCCACGTACAGCAGCTCGCGCACCCCCCGGTTGCTCGCCTCATCCACCTCAGGCTCCGTCCAAAACTCCTCTACACTGCCATGTCCCCGCCCCATGCCTTCATTTCTCCTAGCGCCTTGGCCTCGCCTGCTATCATCAACGCCCTGGGTGTCCTGAACGCCCAAGTCACCAAATGCTTGAGAGAGGTCCTCCACAGCGAACCCTCCCTGTCCCCCCTGCCCTTCCCAATCGCTTCCTGCCCCAGCCCCCCTGCTCCTAGCACCAGCTCTGATTCCTCCCGCCCCTCCGCCCCCTCTCACCCCTCCTGCCCCCGCTGAGGGCGCAAGGCCGAGCCAGGAGCTGTCATGGCCCGTGACTGCCACAGCATCCCCATCATCAGCATCAGCGAAGTATGAAGTCATCATTCCGACCATCTCGCTGAGCTGTTCCCCCACGCCACCATCCCTCGCACTGCTCACACCCCACCCCTCCCCAACCTCCAGCCCGCCCAGCATGCCCAGGGCGTCAAACGCGTTCCCCATGGGCGCCTGTTGACTGAGGGCACCTCTACCAGTTCCCCCTGCCCCGGAACCTCCTCCTGCCCTTCCTGCCCCGGAACCCCCTCCTGCCCTCCCCGTCCCCTGCCCCCCTGGCCCTCCTGATACAGGACCCTGATCCCTCCACGCTTCAGAGCCCAGGTTGCCTGCCTTCTTCTTGCGGCGGGAGCTGTCCTTCATCGCGCCCTTCTTCCACCGGTCCCAGTTATCCCGGCCCACTTGCTGCCGAGGGACCAAGGAAAAGAGGTGGGGAAAAGCAGGGATTGGACAATTCTTTTAATATCAAAACCCAACAACGAAGACCTTGATCCCCCCACAATTTAGACCCCAAGTTGCCGGCTTTCTTCTTCCGTTGGGAGATGTCCTTCATTGCACCCTTCTTCCACGGGTCCCAGTTGTCGCGGCCCCCTTTCTGCCGACTCTCAGAAAAGGAGTGAGAAAAAAGGGAAGCTCTCAGTTCAGGCACGGGAAAGAAACGAAGAAAGGAGTCCCGCATCAAACTGAGACAATGGCGTCCGTATCTCACAATCCCAAGTCAAATTTATCACCACTTGCTGCCATCCTCTGCCTCCTCTGCCTACTCTGCCTCCTCTGCCATCCTCCGGTCCTACCTCAAACCCATCCTCGTCTGCCTCCTTGGAGGTTCTGAGCGCCTGGAAGAACGTGGGGTGGTTGGCCATGAGGTGGGAGAGACGGCGCGCCAGGGGACAGCGAGGGCGTTGTCCATGTGCTGCTGCAGGGCCTCGCTGTACACAGCGATCACCGCCTCCACCTCCCTCCCTAAACCTGCTGACCACCTCCTCAATTCAAAACCACCTCTCACGCACATCATACCCATCACCGTTTGCTTCTCACCTCAAATCCGTCCTCGTCTGCCTCCTTGGAAGTGCGAAGCGCCTGGAAGAACGAGGGGCGGTTGGCCGTGAGGTGGGAGGAGGTGGGTGGAGGTGGGTGCTGTGAATTTCTCACCTCGAACCCATCATCGTCTGCCTCCTTGGAAGTGCGAAGTGCTTGAAAGAACGAGGGGTGGTTGGCCATGAGGTGGGAGGAGATGGCACGCCACGGGACGGCGAGCGCATTGTCCGTGCGCTGCTGCAGGGCCTCGCTGTACGTGGCGATCACCGCCTCCACCTCCCTCAGCCTGCTGCCCACCTCGTAGCTCGACTGCCTGTAGGCTGCACACACGTACTCGCCCACAACAAAAATTGTCACGATAACACATGCGCTATTTCAACACCTAGCTACTATGTTGGAAAAAACGCAGATTTGGTTTTGCGTTTTGCGTTTATACGCGAGTAAAATTCGTACGCTGCGTTTTGGGTGGAGATTCGCCGAAAAACGCACGGGCTGACCGCGGAAAAAAAGTTTTCCCGCGACAGGTCGCGACTAGGCGAAAAAAACAGGGGTTTCGCGCATCACCAATTCAACTGCGCGGAATTGGGGGCTGACGACAAAAGCGGCACATCGCAAACTCGAATTGAGTTTGTGGCTTGAACGTCCAACCCCAAAAGGCTTCCCCACCGCATTCAATCTCTCCATACGTTTCCAACCCAACCAATTGTGGTTTGAACTCCAATCCCAAAAAGCTTCCCTACCGCATTCAATCTCACATCACCTCCCTTTCCCAACCTTTCTGCTTTATGACGATTGACGACTCACCAGAGTCTTGACGCAGAGGAGCAGCACCTAACCCAATTTCGCGTCGTAACTCTCTAGCAAAGCTCCCTCCCTTAGTTCTCGCGCCGTTGTTCTAAGCTCGCCAGGAGAAATGTTGACCCGTTCCTACCACTCCTCCTAGCACGACAAATTTTCCTGCCCGCAATATTTTTTCCCCTGCCCGAACCTCCGTATTTCGTGCGTACCGCATACCCCCTTTCCAAGCGTATTGCGTATAAACGCTTACGTATATACGCTGGCGTACAAAACGCAATACGCGTATTTTCCAACATAGCTAGCTAGCCTGCTGCCACCGCAGGCTCGCGTCCTGTGTCCTGTACACTGGTCACGATAACAGATGCGTTACTTCTTCTAAGGCGCCTAAAAAAAAGGTCAGCACCTAGCCCGCTGCCACCTCGAGCTCAAGTCCCAATAAGCCCGAACACATGAGATGACCCCGAAACGCGAAATTTCGTATCCAACATTTTGAAAATATCCTGGACGACGTATGAGAGTGGCTTGGAAGAATTTGTGCGGTGATGGGGAGCTTACTTCTGCTTCGCTCCAGATTGGAGCTCCGGATGATGTTGAGGAGGTTGTACTCCTGCAGAGCCTCGGACCTGCTCCTTCCTCCCACTCGAACCACCTGCTCATGAGCCACGTGTCAGCGCGAACCAACTCTGCATTGTTAGCACAGAACCATCATGCGTGCATGGCCAGACAGACTATCACTCACTCTCTTATAATGTTTTCTCAGGAGCTGAGATCCGTTGGCTGTCGTAGTCGAATCTACCTTTTACTTCGGCCAGACAGACTTTCACGCTATACACTAAGACAGACAGAATCCACAACCATGCCCCAAAACGTGCATAGCCACGACTGAACTCACCCACCAAAGAGAAGCACCATCTCCATGTGCTTGACTTGAAGGAAGGAGCCCCAGTCTGACTTTCGTTCTTGATGCCACTTGCAATGCAACAGGCCACACACGATCAAGGCTTACATTCTTGATGCCGCTGGCAATGAGCTCCTCCAGCAACTGGTCAAGCGCATGGTTGGTGAAGCACACACAGAGGATGGGTCCCATGGCACTGGCCTCGCTCCTAGCAAGCAGTGCCTCCATGTGCCCCGCCCCCATGACTTACGTTCTTGATGCCGCTGGCAATGAGGCCCTCCAGGAACTGGTCAAGCGCATGGTTGGTGAAGCAGACACACAGGATGGGGCCCATGGGACTGGCCACCTCCCTGCCTCGCGCAGGACTCCCTCCAGGGCTCTTGAGGGCATTGCCCAAAAGAATCTCCACAAGCTTTATTCCAACAAACGTCTGCCAGGAGTACACAACCCCAACCTCAGTTAGCACAGGAGTTTTTGCATCAACCCTGCATGAGAATGAATGTAAGATGGGTTTCGAATACAGCATGATATTACAATGATCCTGGTCTTCAATCTGCATACCCACCTTGCCAGCAAGCAACCCCACAACCCACCTTGCCAGTTCCCGGTGGTCCCTGCAGCAGGGCGAACTCCTGCGTCAGGGCAGCTCGAAGAGCCACGGTTTGGGGTTCGTCCAGCGACGTGCAGCGCAGGAGAGCATCCACCGGGAAGGCGCTGGGGTTGGAGATCATCACGTTCTTTATGGAAAACGTGTCCTCCGCAGCGTTCGGAGTCTGGGGGGAAGACGGCTTGGTCTGGAGAAGCAGGCTCAAGTCATACCTGCAGGCAGGGGCACAAATGGGGAAGGTTATGGGGAAGGCGCTGGGGCTGGGGTTGGAGATCATCACGTTCTGTATTGAAACCGTGTCCTCCGCAGCATTCGGAGCCTGGGGGGAAGACAGCTTGGTGATGAGAAGCAGGCTCTCAAGTCGTACCTGCCGGCAGGAGGAAGCACACGGAAGTTCAGTCCCTCTGCCAGAGTGCTTAGGAGAGGAGACATGTGCCACTGCAAGAATTCAGAAAACTTTGACTCACACTCCCCTTCTCTCCTTCGCACGCGACCATTCTTTCTTCCTGTGCGGAACCCCCTCCACTCCACTACCCCAACCCCCCACCCCCTCCCCGCCCTTCCACCTCCCTCACCTCTCATTCGGCCTCTCTCCCCCATCATCTCATCACACACCCCCCTCTCCACCCCTCCCACTTACATCATTCCCCCTCGGATGTACGCAGGAACCTTATACCCCAGGTTGAAAGCAGCCCCTCCAGGTGCACCTGCTGGTCCGCCGCCAGTCACAGCACCCCCAGGGGCAGCGCAGATGTAGTCGGAGAAGGGCAGCGACGCCTCAGTGATGGTCTGCAGAGCCTTGAGAATGGGCTCGTAGGCGAAGAAACTCCCATGGGCTTCCAGCATCACCACCTGCGTCCTCGCCCCCCTCCCATTGCCTCCCTGAGCGATCAGCCCCAGCAGGTCCGCGCTGAACCCGTTCCCCTGGCACGGCTGGACTCCGATCTGCGGCCTGGGAGAGGCGAGCCTCTTTGTGTCGCGCGCTGTGATGGTGGCGAAGACCAGCCTGTGGGAGCCTAAGTCTCTCGCTGGATCGGCTACCCCCCTGTGACCCCCGGGAGGGAAGGAGCTGGTGTCTCGGATCCACAGGCAGACCAGCGAGCCATTCTGCAGCCGCCGCGTGTTCTCCCAAAACTCCACTCTGGCAGGGGAGGCGAAAACAGGAATCAGGTAGAAAAGGAAATCGAGGATACTTAAATGAATCGGAATCGTAAAACACGAAGCATAATTCACATCACAAGTTAGAGGTCTGTTGTTACACGCACAGCGACCTCGCGGTCTAACAGGCTCCATGAAATTGAACAGAAATCGCTGAAAAGATGAGCGCATGCGAATTCTGAGCAGTGAAAAATGGCGTTACCTGTTACGGGCAGCGCGCCGGCTGCGGGGCATGGGCGGCTCCATGAAGTCGATGAGGAAGAACACCCCGCTGCGCTTGTCGGTGTTGATGGAGAGCACCTTGACATCGCGCAGCAGATACACGTCCATGTCTTCCGAAGAAAACCCCACCACCCCCTTCATGTTGTCCGTCAGCCCCCTCACCAAGTCCCTGTCCGCCCTCACAAGCCCCATCGCCTCCTCCCTGCCGCCGCTACCACCGCCGCTGCCACTGCCACTGCCGCTGCTGCTGCTGCCCCCTCGGCCGGCCCTTGAGGCTTCGTGGTTGAGCCTCTCGAGGAGGAAGAGCGCCTTGCTCCAGAGGGACGCGACCAGGTCGTGCCTGAGCAGGCGGAACTGGATGTCGACGTGGCGGCCCACAGAGCCGGCAGGGAGGTGGTGAGGCTCGTTGGCGTGGTTGTGGGGCAAGTAGGGCGCGACCTTGCACAGCACCTCCTCCATCGTTGGCGCCACCGAGATCTGGTGCCAGGGAAGGAGATTGTCAGGGAAGGGAGGACGATCAAGGATGGGGAAACGAAACCCATGGGATGGGAATGAATGCAGAAAGGAACGAACAGGTGTGCTGTCACAGACGATTGTCGATTGTCAATGGCTGGCATCATACTGTTCTCACAAGAGGTTGGGACTTACAGCTGAGATCTCCACACGGTCGTTGTCATGCCTTGGGCGCCCATCCAAGCTGAGCTCCCCCGGACCATCCACAGCTTGCATGCTGGACAGCGGCTGACCTGTTAGGATAAATCGGAGAGCAGCAGGAAGAGTGAATTACTCGTACCATGAAATCATCCAAAAATCATCTACACAAACACGGAATTCCAGACCAGAAAATCTGGGCACAAGGCGAAGCGAACCTGCAGGGAAGAACTGGTCGTGCAGCACCTGGCCTTCCTCCATCCTCTGCCTCTGCCGTTCGCTGTGCCTGCGTCTGTCCAGCGACTTGCGCAGCCTGTAGATCGTCGACCGGAGGCCATGGTACTTGCCATCAAACACCGCCTTTGCTGCCTGCCACCGCTCAAGCATCGCCTCCAACTCCTCCATGTCTGCGCTGGCTTGCGCAACATCAAACAGAGAGTAGAACCGATCCATGGTTAGGTTGAAGAAGCTGATAATGACGTGGAAAGCCACGTCCCAGTCCGTGATGCCATCGGCCTCGTCTCGAGCCAGATCGCGGATCTCTCCACGTTGGGTTAGGAGCCTGATGCAGCTGATGAGGTACTCCTGGAGTCCGCCCACCTCGACAATGGCTGCCAGGGTCACGTTGACCTTGCTTGATGCAGGGTTGTTGAAAAATTCAGGCTGTTTAAAAATAAAATAGGAGAGGGGGGGGGAGGGGAGAGGGGGGGGAGGGGGGGGAGGAAGGGGGGGAGAGATAAGCAGATAAATAAGTATGAGCCCAAATAGGAAACGAAATTATTGAATCGAAGAGGACAAAACGTTACCATGAAACAGCACAAGTGCTGCATGTTACCTGGCAGATGACCCTTAGCATGGGCAGAACCACACACTGGAAGGACACGAATCGGGTGTGATTGCCAGCAGAGACGGATCTCGAAGGACCGCAAGCTACAGCCTCCTGACAGATGCTGACGACCTTCTTTCTGCCGAAGAGCTTGTCGTCAGCGAGGACTATCACCAGATCTGCACAAAACGGTCGATAAAGTTGGGAAAAAAGGGCAAACCATCTCCGGAAATTAATGCATCATATCGTTTGATCTTCTATGTAGATTCTATGTACAGCTTGTCGTCAGCGAGGACTATCACGATCATGGGCTGATCTGCAAAAACGGTTGACAGTAGAGATCTCGTGACATGACATCAGCATCGTTGACAGTCACTGCACTAACATAATTCTTGGGAATAATCACGCCATCGAGCAGACTACTATTGAAAAATCTATGTACCTGAAGCATCGTGAGATTCCATGGCTTGAACGAACATCCTCATCTGAGATTGAGTCATAAATTCGCTGTCATTCGGAAGGAAGGTCCACAGCTTCGGGCCCCTCCTCTCCTCTCTGTCTGAACTTGACCTTCCTCCTCGTCCACCTCTTCCTCCGCCTCCCCATCCTTCCCCTCTTCCTCCCCGTCCTCCTCTGTCATTCCCACCACGTCCGCGACCTCCGCCATGGTTCTGATTGTAATTATCAGGGTTACGCCCTCCTCTGCCTCCTAGAATACCTCGGCCTCCCAAAGATCCCCGTCCACCATGATTCCGGCCTCGTCCCCTGCCGCCTCCCCTATGGAAACCGAACTGGGAATCCATGGCTTAACTCCAGGCCAGCGCCAAACAGGAGTTAAATTTGGATTAACCCCAGCGCCAGTCAGGAAGGTGAAGGGCCTGACCTGGTCGACTCTCACTCTTGGTCGATCACTGATTCGCAGACCCACCAGCAGCAGCTAGTTGTGCCAGTAAGCTGATGTCAGGCGCATTCTTCCCGAACGGATGTAGGGAGAAGTACGTTACAGATGGCCCAACGCCACACGGAGCCGTGCCAGGAAGGTGAAGGACCTGACCTGGTCAACTCCCACTCTGGTCAATCACTGATTGGCACATCCACCAGCAGCAGCTTGTTTGTGCCAGTAAGCTGATGCCAATTACATTCGTTCCGAGTGGATATAAGGCCCTGTCCAAATCGGTCTGCGAACACGGATCTGTGCCAGGAAGGGGAAGGACCTGACCTGGTCCACTCTCTCTCTTGGTCGATCACTGATTGGCAGACCCCACCAGCAGCAGCTAGTTGTGCCAGGAAGCTCATGTCAAGCACATTCGTTCCGGATGGAAGTAAGGCCGTGTCCAAATTGCTCAGCGACACAAAGGGCCGTGCCAGTAAGCAATGTCAAGCTGATGATGTCCAAGTTGCTCAGCGGCATCCGTCACTATCCAGCGGACCGACGGACGTCGGGCTCGAGATTCGCTCCCGGGTTTTGGCACTTCTGACACACGGAAAACCAGGGTATAGCCCTGAGACTGTTGGAGGGGGGAGTGCCCCAAATCTGGCTGTGACTACTTCCATCTGAAGAAACTCTGCCCGTTTCTCTGCCCGCAAATGCTGTTCGACATCCCTCGACATTCCCCAGACGTTTGGATGTCGAGGCCGGATGTCGAAGGCACTCTGAACACACTCTCCCAGAAATCCACCAAGCGATTTCGTCCACATCCCTCCTCCTCCTCCTCCTCTGTCCACGTCCCCCGACATCCCTCGACATCCCCGACATCCCCGACATCCCCGACATCCTAGTGCATGCAGACATGCCCTATGACTAGCACAGAGAATGATAGGTTTGGGGCAAGGGATGCCTTCTCACGCCCTACTCACGCCTAACTCACGCCTTGTCTGGGAGTGGGAGGTGCGCAGGGTGCTGCTGACGCCTGGCTCTTGCCTGGAACTTTTGTCCCCTGATGGTTTGCGTTGCGAGAATGCAACCTCTGTTACCACCAGGAGTCGCGAAAAGCACAGCCTGGAAACCAGCTGTTTGATTTTGGGGTGAAGGTTTCTGAACCGTCGCAAAACGGTTGTTGATGAACTTTTGGTGGTGCATCATGGTGGGCATTGAACCGCCCAGACAAGTGGATGCCAGTTACCTCGATAAAAGCGTTATTTCTCTTTGACACATTACGGTTCTATATTCCTAGGGTGTAAAATGACATACTTCTTTAACCGAAAATAGCCTACCCATCACATAACCCTAGAACTATGGCGTTCAAATTTCACAGTAGCGCGCAATGTGTATATCGAGGTCAGGTGACTGTGAGAGCACCTTGAACATGCCAAGGTTGCTGTATCATTTGCCAAAAGCATACTTGTCAACCGAGGCACTCGTCTTGGGCCGCACAAGACAAGCGTCGTTTGCGGCATGATGATAAGCTCAGAATTTGTCGGCCCCAACAAGAATGATCGATCGTGAATCCTCATACAGTTCTATCATGATCGACGAATGCTGCATGGCGTTCAGTGAACCAGAGAAACTTGCCTAGTAGCCAGACTCGCAGTCACTGATAGTTCGGCGTGAGTTAGGCGTGGCGACAATTTCCAACTGAGTTTCTTACACTTGGCATCGTCATCTGCATTGCGATGTGACTCAATCGCATCAGGCCGATGCGCCGGACACGTCAGTCAGCTGCTGTTCCCTGACAGATGGTTCCGGCTGTTTCGGTATCAATAGCCAACATGGGCATTTCAGAGGCCATCAGACGCCTGCCTAGCTGCTTTGAGCTATGGATTCCCAGTTCGGCTTCCAGTGGGGGTACAGCAGGGGTCGAGGCATGGATTCTGGCGGACATGGCGGTAGAGCAGGGCGTTCTGGAAGCAGTCAGGCAGGTGACTACGCTCAGAGCTATGGCGGAGGTCGCGGACATGGCGGGTACAGCAGAGGAGGATGGGGAGGAAGAGGTGGAGGACGAGGAGGGGGAGGAGGTCGACCAGGGACGGGAAGTTCAGACGGACATGAGAGGAGGGGCCCTAGCCTGTGGACCTTCCTGCCGAATGACCGAGATTTTACGAATCAGTTTCAGATGAGGATGTTCGTTCAGGCGATGGAAGCCCACGACGCTTCCGGTGCGTCATCCCCTTTATTTGTACCTCTAGAGCGCTTTCTGTGGACTCCACAAAAATGTTTTCTCATGGTGCTAGCTAACTAACGTACACAAAAGACCATGTGTGCAGATCTGGTGATGGTTCTCGCTGACGACAAGCTCTACGGCAGGAAGAAGCTCCTTAGCATCTGCAAGGAGGCCGTTTCTTGCGGTCCTTCAAAATCCTTGTCAGCTGGGAGCCATCCTCGGACCGTTTCCTTCCAGAGTGTCATCCTGCCGATGTTACAAGTCATCTGTCAGGTACCAGCTTGCAATATTTGATTTTTTGCATGATTGTACCTTCTGTGTTAAACTGTCACATGATGCCATCTTAGAGCTCATGTCCATATCGTTCCTGCATGTTTCCAGCCTGCGTTTTTCAACAACCCAGCGTCAAGCAAGGTCAACACAACCCTTGCAGCCATAGCCGAGGTGGAAGGATTCCAAGAGTACCTTGTCACCTGCATGAGACTCCTAACCCAACGCGGAATGATCCGCGACTTAGGGAGAGGAGAAGACGACGGCATTAAGGACTGGGACGTGGCTTTTGGCATCGTGTTCAGCTTCTTTCACGAGACGATGCTGCGGTTCTACTCCTTGTTCGACGCTGCGCAAGCCAGCAAAGACCTGCAGGAGCTGGAATCCATGCTGGCGAAATGGCAGGGTGAGAAACCGGTGTTTGATGGCAAGTACCACCATCTCTGGTCTGTGATTTACCGGCTGAGGAGGGCTCTGGACGTGCGGAGTCACAGCGAAAGGCAGAAGCAGAGGATGGAAGAAGGCCAGCTGCTGCATGAAGACTTCTTCCCTTCAGGTTTGCCTTGTGAATTTCGTTTCCTTTGATAATATGGTTCATCTGACATGTGATCTCTTTATTGGCCCTAGCAATTTCCGTTTGATGCCCTAGTAGCTGGTCTTGCTGCAGGTCAGCGGCTGTCCAGCATGCAAGCTGTGGATGGTCCGGGTGAGCTCAGCCTGGCTGGCCGCCCAAGGCATGACAACGACCATGCAGAGATCTCAGCTGTAAGATTCATCTTGTTGAATTTTCACCTGTCAAGTTTCGAATTGTTGAAATCTGAACTATGAAATGCAACTTTGTTGAAAATGAGCTGTCGGATTCAGCTTTCTGAAATTTCAGCTGTGAGATCAAGTTGCTGATATTGAGCTCTCAGAGTCGACTTTTTTCACCGAGTAATACGAAAAGAAACTCATGAAGATAAGTTTTGTTTGCTAATCCATTACGATTCTTTCTCTGTCCTGAAAATCCCCTTTCCGTGAGCAGATCTCAGTGGCTCCAACGATGGAGGAGGTGCTGTGCAAGGTCGCGCCCTACCTGCCCCACAACCACGCCAACGAGCCTCACCACCTCCCTGCCGGCTCTGTGGGCCGCCACGTCGACATCCAGTTCCGCCTGCTCAGGCACGACCTCGTCGCCCCCCTCTGGAGCAAGGCGCTCTTCCTCTTCCAACGCCTCAACTACGAATCCTCCAGGGCCGCCCGCGGGGGTAGCAGCAGCACTGGCAGCGCCAGCTGCAGCAGTGGTAGCGGCGGCAGGGAGGAGGCGATGGGGCTTGTGAGGGCGGACAGGGACTTGGTGCGGGGGCTGACGGACAACATGAAGGGGGTGGTGGGGTTTTCTTCGGAAGACATGGACGTGTATCTGCTGCGCGATGTCAAGGTGCTCTCCATCAACACCGACAAGAGGAGCGGGGTGTTCTTCCTCATCGACTTCATGGAGCCGCCCATGCCAAGAGGCAGGAGGGCGCATAACAGGTAACTGTTGCGTAGAATCCGCCAGAGCATGCTGCAGGCCTTGGTTTTTCCAATGCTTCGTGCTGGTGCCAAGATATGTCTGGCCGTTGACGTCCTCCTCGCATGGTCTTTGAATGTCAGGGTGGAGTTCTGGGAGAACACGCGGCGCCTGCAGAACGGCTCGCTGGTCTGCCTGTGGATTCGAGACATGCAGCCCACAGGCGGCCACAGGGGGCAAGACAATACCGACTCAGGCTCCCACCGGCTGGTCTTCGCCACCATCACAGCACGGGACACACAGAGACTCGCCTTTCCAAGGCCGCAGATCGGAGTCCAGCCGTGCCAGGGGAACGGGTTCAGCGCTGACCTGCTGGGGCTGATCGCTCAGGGGGGCGGTGCTGCTGGCGCAGAGCAGCGGACGCAGGTGGTGATGCTGGAAGCCCATGGCAGCTTCTTCGCCTACGAGCCCATCCTCAAGGCGCTGCAGACCATCACTGAGGCCTCGCTGCCCTTCTCCGAGTACATCTGCGCTGCTCCTGGGGGTGCACCTGGCAGGGCTGCTGTCAACCTGGGGTATAGGCTACCTGCATACATCAAAGGGGGCATGATGTAAGTGGGAGGGGTAGAGCGAGAGGGAAGGGGAGAGGGACGGACGGATAGGGGGAGTATGGGAAACTGGCCTGTGAGCGAGGGAAAGACGAGTCAAGGAGGGCTTATGCCTTCTGAGTGGAGGGTTGACATTGCGAGTCTTTTGTGTCTTTTGCAGGTATGACTTGGGCTTGCTGCTTCAGACCAAGCCCTCATCCTCCCACGCACAGAACACTGCCCAGAACGGTGCCCAGAACGCTGCAGAGTGCGCTGCTGGGAGTGCTGCTGAGAGCGCTGCAGAGGACTCGTTCGCCATCAGGAACGTGATCGTGTCCAACCCCACTGCCTTCCCCATCGATGCTCTCCTGCGCTGCACGTCGCTGGACCGGCCTCAAGCTGTGGGTCTCCAAGCTGCCCTGACGCAGGAGTTCGCCCTGCTGCAGGGACCACCGGGAACGGGCAAGGTGAGTGGTCTGGTGATCGGTGTCACTGGGTGGGTTTGAAGCAGACTCAAGCCCTGACTCAAAAATGGCTGATGTGCTTACAAGCTGGGGGAATAAGCTGGGAGGGCAGGAAACTAGTGCAGCGCATCACTATGTTGCTGAAGGAGTTCATCTTCAAAATTTCGCATGCCAACCGCACGTACATGCTATATTTACTGGGGCTTCTGTTTCCATGGCAGACGTTTGTCGGGATTAAGCTTGTGGAAATCCTGCTGAGCAACGCCCTCAAGGGCCCTGGGACGAGTGCTGGAGGGAGCTCTTCTCGAGGCACGGATGAGGCGAGTCCTCTGGGCCCCATCCTCTGCGTGTGCTTCACCAACCACGCTCTGGACCAGTTCCTGGAGGGGCTCATTGCCAGTGGCATCAAGAGGGTACGTCCAAAGGCTGCTTCTAGTTCCAGATCCGCACTTTCTATAACACCTCTTTCTGAAGGGTCGTACACATCAGTGCAAACGCGGCCGCATGATCATCTTGCATGCCCGTGTGCCATCCGAGCGAGATGGGTGGCTTTCTTTTGGCTCTTTCTGTGGCCCAGGAGCTGATTTTTGAGGCGCCTACAAAAATGTGGCCCAGGAGCTGTGGGTTTGGTCTGCGACTCTTGCTGTGGTTCTTCTCATGGCTCTTGAACAGGTGGTTCGAGTGGGGGGCAGGAGCAGGTCCGAGTCCCTGCAGGAGTATAATCTTTCAAACATCATCCGAGGCGCGAACCCTTACCACAGCCGAAGTGAGCAATGCATTGCAAAAGCGTGTCACAACACAGATAGTGTCAGTCAACTGAACTGATATACTCTCACTTTCGGCACTTCCGCACCTTCTATCTTTTCCAAGTGCTGTGCTGGATGGTAGTCCTTTTGTCCGATGGAGAAGGACTAGCTCGACCGCCTGTATGCTGTATGCTAGTCCTTCTCTCAACGTATGGCGGAAACGTTGTTGTGGGCGGTGTGTCTGTGCAGCCTACAGGGACTCGAGCTACGAGGTGCGAAGCCGGCTGAGGGAGGTGGAGGCGGTGATCGCCACGTACAGCGATGCCCTGCAGCAGCGCACGGACAACGCACTCGCCGTCCCCTGGCGCGCCATCTCCTCCCACCTCATGGCCAACCACCCCACGTTCTTCCAGGCGCTTCGCACTTCCAAGGAGGCAGACGATGACGGGTTTGAGGTGAGAAGTTCACAGCACCCACCTCCCCCAACCATCACGCTGTCCCAGTCGTTCTACCTCGACTATGCTTATGCTTTTCGACTCGTCTTGAGTGTGGTTTCGTTCGTTGACTCCTTTGATCTTGTTCTGCATCCTCTCTTGTTCTGCATCCTCTGTTTTTCTTTCTCTGATTTTTTCGCTGTTCTTGTTCTCCTGGCAGCAAGTGGGTCGAACCAACTTGAGCGGCGGAAGCGAGGCCGGGCTAAGGAATCTCATCGGTCCTTTCTGTTGTGTGACTCTGAAAGCTCTACTGTCCTGTGTTCTGGCTTGTGTGGCAGCAAGTGGGCCTAGATAACTGGAGCCGGTGGAAGCGAGGCCTCGCGAAGGAAATTCCTCGCCGCAAGAAGAAAGGAAGCAACTTGGGAAGAGAAGGAAGGGAAGCTGCCGCCGGTCTAGGCATATTTCCCCAAACGCTGGAACCGGGGACCGGGGATTGGGGGGCGGTGGGTACAGCCGCTCCCAGTGAAGAGGCACCGACGCAGAATCCCTACGAAGCCCTGAGCATGCTAGGTGGTGTTGAGGTTGGGGAGGGGTGGCATCTGAGCAGTGGGAGTGATAGTGGCGTGGGGGATGAGCTGAGAGGGCTGGTTGAGCTCATGTCATCCATCTATGTTGATGATGAAGGGGATGATGGTGGTGATGGTGATGATGATGGAGAGGCAGTAGATCTAGGCAGCAGGGCTGCTGGCGGCCACGGCAGCAGCGGTACGGGACATGCCACAGGCAGCAGGGCTGCTGGCTTGCTGTCGTGCCTCGGTCTTGGAGCCCTACGGGTAATGGGAGTTGAGACAGCAGCCATGGGGGCGAGAATGCTGGAACAGTCGGGTAAGGGTAGTCAGCGAGGAGGGGTTACAGTGGAGGACCTTTTTCAGGCGTTCGGTGATTTGGGGAACGAACGCGGCAGGGGCAATGGGGAGGAGCTGATAGACAAGCCTCAGATGGAGCAGCAGCAGGAGACGGAGGAGCAACAGATCGGGCCTGTGGCGGTGGATGAGGCGAGTGATCGGGAGGTGGATGAGCTGCTGTACGTGGAAGACCCATGGGCGACGAGCGCGCAGGAGAGAAGGAAGCTGGTGGAATTCTGGGTGGGGGAGGTGCGGGCCACGGCCAATGCTGCGATCGAGGCCGAGGTTGAGAATTTTGCAAGGTCCGTGGCTGGTGGTTGTGTGATGGTTGATGGTCCTGAGGGTGCAGATGTCATTCCTGGTGATGGATCAATCTATTGTGGGAGGTACACTGTGGGGCCTTTCGAGTAGATATCAAAGTTTTTCCACGAATTCTTGGCAATTGTGTTGTGAATCTGAAAGCGATGCTCCATTTGTCTCCATTGCGGATGAGCAGGATGGTGAGGGAGAGGAGCGAGCTGCAGCAGGTGGAGGCTTGGAGGATCTGCGGGCGCTGAGGAGGATTTTGTGAATGTGCTATGTAAACTGGGTGCAAACGTTTCATGTTTCACGTGGTGTGCATGAGCAGGAAGGTGAGGGAGCGGAGCGAGCTGCAGCAGATGGACGAGCTGGAGCGCAGGAAGGTGCAGGAGCGCAGCGAGCTGCAGCAGGTGGAGGACCTGCAGGTGGTGAGGAGGGCGCGGTGAATGTGCTATTTAACTCCATTGCGAATGTCCTATGTTGTATGTAATTCGCATATGCAGGAAGGTGAGGGAGCGCAGCGAGCTGCAGCAGGTGGAGGACCTGCAGGTGCTGAGGAGGGCTCTGTGAATGTGCTATTTAACTCCATTGCGAATGTCCCATGCTGTATGTGATTCGCATATGCAGGAAGGTGAGGGAGCGCAACGAGCTGCAGCAGGTGGGGGACCAGGGTGCTATGAATGTGCTGTGTAACTCCATTGCAAATGTCCCATATTGTGTGTGATTCGCATATGCAGGAAGGTGCAGGAGCGCAGCGAGCTGCAGCAGGTGGAGGACCTGCAGGTGTTGCAGAGGGCGCAGGTGGTGGGGATGACGACCTCAGGCGTGGCGAAGATGCAGCGCCTCATCACTGCTCTCGGCCCGCGAGTCGTCATTGTGGAGGAGGCGGCCGAGGTGCTCGAGGCCCACATCCTCACCTCGCTCACGCCGCAGACCCAGCACGTCATCCTCATAGGTATGGCAGGCCCAGCTCGGTATACTTATACGTATGGCAGGTGCTGTGGCTGGGACTACTTCAGCTCATAGGCATTGTGTTCTGGGGATGCAGAAATCTCAACACTTGTGCATGTTCCATTGCTTGCTCCCCTGTTGGCAGGCGACCACCTGCAGCTGCAGGTGGAGGTGTGCGAGCTGAGCAACCAAGTCCGTATGCCAATTTCCTCGTTGTCTCATTACCCTCCTTGTGCCATGGCCACCAGGCGACCACCTGCAGCTGCGGCCCAAGGTGGAGGTGTAGGAGCTGAGCAAGGGATCTCTGTCCAAGCACTTAGCCCTCTATGGATCCTCCTATTGATCACTTATCCATGCTTGCTCCCCTGCCACCAGGCGACCACCTGCAGCTGCTGCCCAAGGTGGAGGTGTACGAGCTGAGCAAGAACTCTCTTGCTGATCACCTAGCCTTTCTCAAACCCGTGTCATTGCCTGTCTCCCTATTGCCAGGCGACCACCTGCAGCTGCGGCCCAAGGTGGAATTGTACGAGCTCAGCAAGGACTCCTACAAGGGCTTCGACCTGGACGTCTCCCTCTTCGAGCGCCTCGCGCTCTCCAAGCAGATCCCCGTCTTCACCCTCGCCACCCAGCGCCGCATGCGCCCAGAAATCGCCGATCTCATTCGCAGCACCATCTACCCGGACCTCAGGGACCATCCGTTCGTTGAGGGGTATGTAGATGGTTTCTGCAATCTTTCCACCCATTCGTCCATGGGTATGTAGATGGTGTCTGAGACGTCTGTCGTTCCAATGCTCTCTTCGTCTCACATGTCCGATCTTGTCCGCAGCACCATGTACGTGGGCTGCAGGGACCATCCATTCGTCTATGGGTGGGTAGATGGTTTGTGAGATGTTTTTTGTCTCTCAAATGCTGCCACTTAGACTTGCCTTTCGCATTGTCTCAGATTCTGCCCCATCTGGTTTAGCACCATCTACTTACAGCTGAAGGACTGTCCATCCATCCGTCCATCCATCCTCCCAAGATGCCCTGACGTGCGTGGCATGGCGTCCAACCTGCACTTTTGGGACCACGAGACGTTAGAGGCATGGCGTCCAACCTGCACTTTTGGGATCACGACAGCCCTGAGAGCGGTGGGGACGACCTGAGCGAGGGAGAGATATTCCCATATGCTTCTCCCTCCTTTCATTCCCCAGGTACCTGATACCCTGACGTTAGCGGCATGGCGTCCAACCTGCACTTTCGGGACCACGAGAGCCCTGAGAGTGGTGGGGACGACCTGAGCGAGGGAGAGATATTCCCATATGCTTCTCCCTCCTTTCATTCCCCAGGTACCCCGATGTGCGTGGCATGGCGTCGAACTTGCACTTTTGGGACCACGAGAGCCCGGAGAGCGGCGGGGACGACCTGAGCGAGGGCAAGTCCAAGTCGAACGCGGGGGAGGCGGCCATGGTGGTGGGGCTGGCGACGTACCTGCTGCAGCAGGGGTACGCGGGGGGCGAGATCACCATCCTCACGCCCTACGTGGGGCAGCTGCTCAAGCTGCGCCAGGCGCTTTCTCAGGTGGTCAACGTGCGCCTGGGGGAGGGCGATGCTGAGGTGGTGGAGGAGGCCGAGGAGAAGGCGGCAACTAGGGGAGGTGGACCTGGAGCGGAGGATAGTGGGAGTGGGGAGGCGGCGGGGAGTGCAGCGGGGCAGGGAAAGGGATTGGGGCTGGGGTTTACTGCACCCAAGGCAACCACGGCGAATTTGCGGGATGCTGTTCGGCTGGCAACCATTGACAAGTAAGCCTGGCCAAAGCAGCAGTTGTTGTTGCGGAGTGGAGGAACAAGCCGAGTAGTTTTTTCGCTTGTGTGTTGTTTGTTAGCAGGCCAATGTGGAGGGGTGGGGTGGGGTGGGGTGGGGGGCGAGGTCGAGGGAGGTATTGCTACTGCTGTGGGCGTTGCTTCTAACGGTATTCCGTGCTTCAAAAGACCTTAGGCGCAGAATGCCATAGACTGTGAGGGTGTGGACCGCGAAGTCGCATTAACCTTGCGTTTCTCAGGCCACAGACCTGCGTCCTCTAGTAGCAAGCTTGTGAGTCTGTTCTCACTGTGAGATATTCACTGGGTTAGCGGTTGTTGCTTTGTGTGGTTCTGTGGTTCTATGATGGTGGTGCAGTTTCCAGGGCGAGGAGAGCACGGTGGTGATCGTATCTCTTGTGCGCAACAACCTGGACGGCAAGATTGGGTTCCTGAAGAGCCCCAACCGCACCAACGTGCTGCTGTCCCGCGCCAAGCATGGGATGTACCTCATTGGTGAGTTTGAGTGTATGGCATGTACCTTATGGGTGAGTATGAGTGTATGGCATGTACACTATCGGTGCGTGCAAGTGATGGATCCATCTACTCTTCCGCAGCAAGCATGGCACGTACATTAGTGGTACTCAAGTTGTAGCTACTGCATCATTGCCAAGTATACTGATGCTTCATGAACACTCAAGGCATGAGACCTACCCCGCTACTGGTGATTGTTTTTTCTTCTCCCTTTGGCCTTTTTGCGGGCCAGGCAACGCCAACACAACATGAGCGAGCTCCAAGTCTGTCCTCCGGCTGAGAATCCTCGCTGTCTTGTAGAGTGGTCGGCCCTTCAACCCTCTCTTCTCTGCACTTCTCTGCTCTTCTCTGCTCACCGAATTTCCTTCTCCTTTCTCCCCCACTAAAGTATTCCATGGAGCAGGCATCGCCAACACAACGCCAGCAGGCTCCAAGTCTGTCCTCTGGCGGAGAATCCTGGACATCCTACAAAGCAGTGGCGGCATTGAGAGGTTCGTTCCTTCTTCTCTGTTCTCCTCCTCTCCTCTGCCGGACTGTTTGTTTGGTTCAGGCAACGCCAACACGATGCGGGCTTGCTCAACGCGAGCGGGCTCCAAGTCTGTCCTCTGGCCGAGAATCCTGGACATCCTGCAGGGCAGGGGCGGCATCCAGAGGTTCATCCCGCTGCGGTGTGTGAACCACCCCGCCACGGTGACGCGCATCCATGGCGCGAGGGAGTTCAGGGAGAAGGCCAGCGAGGGCGGCTGCTCCGAGATGTGCGGCTTCCGACTCACTCCGTGCGGCCACACCTGCCCCCGCAGGTCAGAATCCCCACATGCTATCACATGGGGCATTTATGTGTGAACGACCCCGCCACACCTGCCCCCGCAGGTGAGAACTCTACATGCTTGCTACATTAGCTTCCCTGGCTAGGGCATGGTACCCAAGCCACCCCGCTCTGCCGTGTTCCTAAGTCACTGCTCCTTTGAATCTCTATATGGATTCAGAACTCTGTAATCCTTCACCCCACCAGGTGCCATGGGGACGACAGGGCGCATGCCAATGCGTTCTGCCCAAAGGAGTGCAGCCGAATCCGTCCGCTGGAGGAGTGTCCGTACCAGCACACTTGTGCTAAGCAGTGTGGGGAAGTCTGCGGCCCCTGCTCTGTCAAGATTAGTAGCCTCACGCTCCCCTGTGGCCATCAGGCGTTTAACATTCCGTGCTTCCAAGCGCATAAGCCGACTTCCATTTTCTGCTCGTGAGTTCACTCTGTTTCACTTATGTTACTTTCTTTTACTTTCCTTGCTCGATATAATTTCCTCCCCTGTATTCCCCTTCTGTTCTCTTAAAACTTGCCGTTCTCTCATGTGCTGGCTTGTTTCCATTTGCTTACCACATCATGGCAGGGTAATTGTGGAAGTCACCATGCCATTGTGCGGCCATAAGCAGACAGTCCAGTGCAGTGAGGCTGCTAACAGGCTGAGCAACCCTAAGCTGTGCACCGCTCGCTGCGGTGTTGTCCTCTCGGATTCCTGCGGGCACACGTGCATTTCTCCCTGTGGCCAGTGCATTGCTGCTCCAGCTGCCAACTCAGAGGAGCAGAATGCTGAGGAAGAGGAGCAGGAGCAGGCACGGCAGCAGCAGCAGCCTGCAAAGAAGCATAAGAAGTGCACCCAGCCATGCAAGCGACCCCTTCCCTGTGGCCACTTATGCCCCGACACCTGCCACGATGGGAGACCCTGCAACCTGTGCTTTAAGAAGTGCCTGGTCGCTTGCCAGCACAGCTCCTGCCCCCAGCCCTGCCACCGAACCTGCGCTCCGTGCGCCGAGCCTTGCGGCTGGAACTGCAAGCACCAGGGGGCCTGCTCCCTGCCCTGCGGGGCGCCGTGCGACCGCCTCCCGTGCGAGCGGCGGTGTGAGAAGGCGCTCCAGTGCGGGCACCAGTGCCCGTCGCTGTGCGGGGAGAAGTGCCCCCCGAAGGCGTTCTGCACGGCGGCTGGGTGTGGCGCGCAGGAGAAGCGGGAGATGACGGTGGATCTGGTGACTCTGGAGACTCTAGGGGAGATCGATCCCGATGAGAGCCCCGTTCTTGTGCTGCCGTGCGGACATGCTTATACGATGGACACCCTGGATGGCCACCTGGGGCTCAACCAGGTGTATCTGGAGTCCGAGGCATCATATGGCAGCAGCAGTGGGGTAGGAGCTGATGGCCCAGGTGCGGGTTCTGGTCTTCCTGCAGGTGATCTTGGTGGTGGGAGCAGTTGCGCTGGAGGTGGGGCCGGGGCCAAGTGGGTGGCAGTGCTGCCGTTTGAAGACGGCAATCTGTCTGCTCTCAAGGGCTGCCCGGAGTGCCGCCAGCCAATCACCGGGTTCCGGCGCTATGGCCGAATGGTCAACAAGGCTCTTCTGGACCAATCCGAGCGCAAGTTTGCCCTCAGCTGCTCCGCTGACCAGGAAGGTGTGCAGAGGAAGTTGTCACGGTTGAGCCAGGTGATCTCCTCGCTCCCTGAGACTGCTCAGCCCAGGCAGTTGCAGGAGCTGGCTCAGGCGGCAACACGTCTGATCCATGAGACGGGCCGGCTTCGCACTACCGCTGTGAACCCGCCCACGCAGCAGACCTACCAGGCTTCTGTGGCGGCACTGCAGAGGAGGCATTACCTGCTGGGGGACCAGTCCCGGGTTCGAGACAGCACTGCTAGCTCTGGAAGTGGCAGCAGGAAGGGTAAGCAGGTGCTATCTGGAACCAGTGCAGGCCCCACTGCATCCACTTGGGAGGAGGAATGCCAGCTCCTGTATGTCCCCCAGCCGGATCCCCGGCCCCTCTGTGAGGCGCTCATGATGCTGGGGAAAGCCTTCCAGCTGCTCATGGCGGCAAACTTCCTCCAGCTGCGCTGCCTTCTCAAGAATGTGTGGAGAGCTTCTGGTCCATCTCGCCTGAGCAGTGGTGGGTCCAGCTCGAGGAAAGCGGCCTACTTGAGTCGCCGTGTGGAGGATTGCAGGGCGGTTGTGCGAGTGAGTCTGAGGATTGCGGAGAAGTATGTTGGTCAGGCAATTAAGTGGGCTGTGAAGCGTAAGGCGCATCGACTGGAGGCAAGGGCGCGGCTGGAGCTGGTTGACGTGTACCGTGCGTTCGTGGAAGGCATGATGGCGGAACGCCTGCTCTCAAACTCCCCTGCTGGCCTTGTGAGCCCCTTGCGTCTATGCGTACCTTTTGCATCTCGAGAGGTACACTATCCTGTTGAAAATGTTATGCCATCTGCCAACTTACCCAACATTTCATGCAGTGGTTAGCAATCAGATCGTTACTCTTGCCTTACTCTTGTAAACCCTTCAATCTGCATTCTTGTGGCAGGGTGGACCAAAGAAGCAGCAGCTGGAGTACCTTGAGAAGGCCAAGATTCAGTGCCGGATGGTGGCTTACCACCATCTGGCATCTGTGAGAGAAAACGACACCCTTGGGGAGAGCGCTCGGAGATTGCTCGATGAAGACCTGCCTACCTTGGAAGCATCTGTTCGAGACGAGCCTCGTTACTTCGCCCTGTCAGAGCACGAAAAGGGCGACGTGTACAGAGCAATAGGATTGGGAGGAGGCCATTGGTACCGGTGCCCGAACGGGCATTTGTATGTCATAGGGGAGTGTGGCAGGGCGTGGGTGGAGTCGCGTTGTCCTGAGTGTAACGAGGTTGTGGGTGGGAGTGGACATGTGCTTCGTGAAGGGAATGTTAGCGCATCTGACTTCTTCAGAGGGGCTTGACTTTTGAGGTACTGCAGGAGTAGGGGCTTGGCTTTGCGGGGGGCAAGATGGTGATGATTGCACTTGTAAATAATGTAAATATGTTCAGAGGACATGTTATAAATCAAGTGAAATTCTGGTCATCAGAGTTTGCTCACGTTGCCCAATCTGCTTAAAATCCCACGGCAAAATAGCTTGAGGGGTTATCAAGCTAGGACCCCACTTGATCAACCCCCCCACCAGACGCCAGAGGGGTTGGTTTGGGACAGAAGTTGTGCGCACTTCCGACCAGATGTCTCGTCGTCCAAAAAGGGACTTAGGCTATTTTGCCGCGGGGTTTTAATGGTGGAACGATGACTTGTGAAGTGGAACGTGGTTGGATTTGCTGCATACGTTTGGTAAAGTCGACAATGTAGTGCACGACTAGCGGCTCCCTCTTTATCGAAACCCTTGGTTCTGCTTCGAGCCAAACCGGCAAAATCTAGGCTCGTCTTTTCCAAACCAGCCATGAATGACACCAGCAGAATCTTGACATCTTGCAAGTCAGCCTCACAGCCTGAGCAGCTAGAAGGATCATCAAGCAGTTCAGTCTGAGCCGCGTTTCGGTTTCGCGTCCTGATATCGTTGTTTCGATGCGTCTGGAACCGCGATTCGGGCCTCGTTATAGGACTCTTTCAACAACGACATTCCATGAAGGCGTTTTCGCTCTGAGCTAGACTGAAAGCTTTCCAAGTGAAGTCGTCAGTCTGATTAGTAGCTCTCAAATCGCGATTTAATCCATGGCAAGCGTCGCGAGTCCTCACACGTTATTCTCAAATCCCGGACCGTCGTCCCTACCCGCAGCAAGCCTAGGCGCACCAGCGATGACAACCAATGGGAAACTGCCAAGTCACGGTGGGCCTGATTCGGCTGACGACAGGAGGTCGTCGGTTCCGCAGCAGCTATCCTCGGAAGAACTGGCTGCTCAGTTGCTGGACGAGCTATTCGGGTCTGACGACGACTCGGTAAGCCGTTTTTGTCAGAATTCGGATGGTTTCCTTCTGGAAGGTTTCGGTGGTTTCGGCCTGAACTTGCAGCAGTTATCCTCGGGCGAACTGGCTGCTCAGCTGCTGGACGAGCTGTTCGGTTCTGACGATGGTTCGGTAAGCGTTAGCGTAGTCCGCTTTTGAAGTCCGCTACCGTCTGAACTCGCAGTAACTAGAGACGGAAGAGCTGGCTGCTCAGTTGCTGGATGATTATCGGTTCTGACGACGATTCGGTAAGCGTTTTCCGTCTGAACTCGCAGTACCGAGAGACGGAAGAACTGGCTGCTCAGTTGCTGGACGGACTGTTTGGCTCTGGTGAGGATTCAGAAAGTAGTTTCCATTCTAACTAAGTGTGGTTCGTTGGTTTTCCACTGTAACCATGCAGGATGACGCCATGGGGACGGCACTGCACACAAACAGGGGTTGGCTTTGAGACATTTTGACAATATTGGTTCGTTGGTTTTCCACTGAAACCATGCAGGATGACGCCATGGGGACAGCACTGCACACAACAGGAGGCGATTTGACCTTCGGCGAAGATGTCGCCGTGTAAGCAAGCACCGAGCCTTTGAGCATGGAGCAACATTTCTGAATCTGGTTCTTGCCTTTATTGAGAGATTTTTGGCAACCACAGAACTACTCTCAGTTTTGAAGAATTGACTTGGCTGTGTGTATGCTTGTGTCTGGATGCTAAGACTCATTGCCTGCATATTCACATGCATATTCACATCTCTGACCGCTCTTCTTTCACAGGGACGACTTTTGAGGCGCCTCAAAAGGGATGCTGAGACTCATTGCCTGCATATTCACATCTCTAACCGCTCTTCCATGCAGGGACGAGTCTTTCCTTCAGGGGCTCCGGGAAGATCTTGATCGATTCAAAGACCATGAGGTCAGTTGTCGGTGTGTTAGAGGAATTCGCTTTTTGATCGACTCAAAAGCAGGTTCGGGGAAGATTTTGACCGATTCGAAGACCACGAGGTCAGTTGTGCCAGAGAGGAGTTAATTGCTGGCGAGAGCAAAGCAGGTGAGTAGTGCTTCCCGGAGGCCAAGGCAAAGGCCCAGGGGTTGGTTTTACATTCTAAATGCCAGAGCCATATTTGGCTTCGTGAAGGCCATGAGCCCCCTCCATATTCATCATTTGAGCAGCCAGGACTTATTGTCAAAATCCAACAGGAATAAGAATCATAAAGAACGTTTTGTCTTCTATTTCCCATTGCCACTTGATCTCCCTTTCCCCCCTGAAAGTATTTTCTCCTTTTTCCCCCCTGAATTTATTTTCTCCTTTGAATTTTCTCTCCCAGGTGGTGTCCACCATCCTGGGCCAAGGCAATGACCTGCAGGAGTTTGCTCAGGAGGTGGAGGAGAAGCCGAGGCAGGTGGATCTGGAGTCCATTCAGGTCCCACACACACCACCGTATAGAACTTTTCACATCCCCCTCCCCCCTCTCATATCTCCCTTTCTCACAGGTCTTATCAAATATCCTAGGCCAGGGAAGCGACCTGCGGGAGTTCGCACGGGAGGTGGAGGAGAAGCTGAGGCAGGTGGAGCTGGAGTCGATCCAGGTTCCATATGGGTCCCCTTACGTATCTCTTTCGCTCCCTCTCGCTCTTTCAGGTCGTATCAAACATCCTGGGTCAAGGCAGCGACCTGCGGGAGTTTGCGCGGGAGGTGGAGGAGAAGCTGAGGCAGGTGGAGCTGGAGTCGATCCAGGACTACATGAAGGAGAGCGACAACCTGCTGGCGCTGCACGCGCAGATCAAGGACTGTGACTTCGTGCTCACGCACATGGAGTCCCTGTTGGGCGGCTTCCAGGTATGTTCCAGGTGGTTTTCTGGTGTAACCTGGTGGTTTTCAGGTATGAAAAGCAAGAGCTACGTGGGACGATCGGAGTCGATCCAGGACTATATGAAGGAGAGTAACAACCTGCTGGCGCTGCACGCGCAGATCAAGGACTGCGACTTCGTGCTCACGCACATGGAGTTGCTGCTGGGCGGCTTCCAGGTGTGAAGAACAAGGGATATGGATAGGGGGGTTGATCTGATCTCTCAGGTGAAGGACTGGTTTCTTGCTTACTCACATAGAGGCACTGCTGGGGGGACTTTTGAGTCGACTCAAAAGAGGTGACTTTTGAGTCGACTCAAAAGTCACCTCGTTTCCAGGTGTGAAGAACAAGGGATATGGATAGGGGGGTTGATCTGATCTCTCGGGTGAAGGACTGGTTTCTTTCTTACACACATGGAGGCACTGCTGGGGGGGCTTCCAGGCATGAATAACAAGCGTGACCCTTTGCGTGTCCCCTTTTGAGTCGACTCAAAAGCAAGCATGCAAGCGTGACCCTTTGCGTGTCCCCCTCATGCTGGTGATGCATGCATGGCATGGCGCCCATTGTTTCTCCTTCTCACCCCTGTAAAACATGCCTTGTTCGTTCATCTTACTTGGCATTTCTCTCTCTCCTCACACTGGCTCTCTCTAACTCTCTACCTGCCTCCTCCTGCAACCACTCCAGGCTGATCTAGGAGCAGTGAGTGCAGAGATCAAGGACCTTCAGGAGCGATGGGGGTCGATGGGGATGGCACAGCGGCTCATTCCCTCTCCCCGTCTGTCCCTCTTCTTTTTCCTCCACCTCTTCCCTCCTCCCATCCCTCCAGGCGGACCTAGGGGCGGTGAGTGCGGAGATCAAGGACCTTCAAGAGCGCTCCATGGGAATGGCACAGCGGCTCCGGAACAGACGGGTAAGTGCTGGTACCTGTGAAACGGAATGCTGCTTTTCAAGAATTCTAAAAAGACAGACGGGGTACCAGTACCTGTAAACGAAATGCTTTTTTTTTAAGGCTTGGAGTTGTGCTCCTACATGGTTGTTTGTGTGTGGAGTGGACTCAGTCTATATCTGTATTCCCCTCATTCCCACCTCACCTCCCCTCCATTCCATTGCCCCCACAGGTAGCAGGAGGCCAGCTGGGACGGTTCGTCGAAGAGATGGCAGTGTCGCCAGACCTGATTGATACAGTGGTGGATGGGGTGGTGGGCGAGGGGTACATCCGCGTGCGGTAGGCATCTTGAACCTCTCTCTTTTCCCCCCCCACCTCCCTTCCACAGGCAGCAGAGGGTCGCCTGAGACGGTTCGTCGAAGAGATGGCAGTGTCGCCAGACCTGATTGATACAGTGGTGGATGGGGAGGAGGGTGAGGGGTACATCCGCGCCCTGCAGGCGACTTGAAACACTCTCTATTCCCCCCCCCTCCTCGTCCTTTCATTGGACATGCAGCAGAAGGTTGGCTGGGACGGTTCGTCGAAGAGATGGCAGTGTCGCCAGACCTGATTGATACAGTGGTGGATGGGGAGGTGGGCGAGGGGTACATCCGAGCGCTGCAGGCGCCTTGAAACTCTCTCTCTCTCCTCTGTCCTTCTCTTCATTCCGCACTTCCCGTCATCTGACAGGCAGCGGATGGGCGATTGGGAAGGTTTGTGGAGGCGATGGCAGTGTCACCAGACCTGATTGATACAGTGGTGGATGGGGAGATGCGCGAGGGGTACATCCGAGCCCTGCAGGCGACTTAAATAATTCTCTATCCTCCCCCCCCCCTCTCTTCCTTTGATTGGACAGACAGCAGAAGGCCCATTGGGTCGGTTTGGCGAAGAGGTGGCAGTGTCGCCAGACCTGAGTGATACAGTGGTGGATGGAGGTGGACGAGGGAGGGGGGTACATACATGCGCGCTCCGTGTGTAATGAGTCGATCTTTGAGTCGACTCAAAGATCGACTCATTACACAAGGTGGACGAGGGAGGGGTACATACGTGCTTTTTGAGGCGCCTCAAAAAGTGGATGGAGGTGGACGAGGGAGGGGTACATACGTGCGCGCTCTGCAGGCTTCTTGATACACTCTCCCTACCTCTTCTCCCTACCTCCCGCCACCCTACAGGCACCGGAGGGTCGCTTGGGACGGTTTGTGGAGGAAATGGCAGTGTCACCAGACCTGATTGATACGGTGGTGGATGGGGAGGTGGGCGAGGGGTACATCAGCGCCCTGCAGGCGTCTCAATACACTTTATTTTTCTCCTTCCCCGCCTACCTCCCACCACCCCACAGGCAGCAGAGGGTCGTATGGGACGGTTTGTGGAGGAAATGGCAGTGTCGCCAGACTTGATTGATACGGTGGTGGATGGGGAGGTGGGCGAGGGGTACATCCTCTCCACGCCCAGTAGGCATCCCCCATCCTCTATATGTCTTTCCCCTCCCCTCCCACCTCCACTCCATTGCCCCCACAGGCAGCAGAGGGGCGTCTGGGACGGTTTGTGGAGGAGATGGCAGTGAGTCCGGATCTGATAGACACAGTGGTGGATGGGGAGGTGGGCGAGGGGTACATCCGCGCCCTGCAGGCGCTGAACCGCAAGCTGCACTTTGTGGCAGAGGAGCCGAGTGCCCGGTCGTCCACTGCCATGCGGGATGTGCAGCCAGAGCTGGACAGGCTCCGAGTGAAGGCTGTTATCAAGGTAGGGTTTGGGTGGGTGCTGTGAGGAGCCTTCTGCTTGGTCGTCCACTGCCATGCAGGATGTGCAGCCAGAGCTGGACAGACTCTCTGGCGTGTGTACATGCTGCTGCTGATGCACTGCTTTTGTCTGATTGCAGGGGAGGGAGTATCTGATGCAGAAGATCTACGCCCTCCGAAAGCCCAAGACCAACATCCACATTCTGCAGCAAAACGTGCTTCTCAAATATAAGTGAGTGCGCTTTTTCCTTACACAAGGGAACACGATGTGTGTGTTTGGTATACCATACTTTCTTATTGCTGAAGGGCATTGTGCACGAAATACATTGCAAAGCCTTGGTTAAAGTTTTTGGCAATGACTGGTTGATTAATGCCTTGCTGGTTACCCTTCCCTTTCCTTTCCTCCCCTCTTTTTCTGACTTACTCCCGTCATTTTTCAGAATTCTCAAAAATGACTCCTTTGTGGCAATGACTGGTTGATTAATGCCTTGCTGGTTACCTTCCCTTCCCCCCCCCCTCTTTTTCTGACTTCCACGCGTCATTATTCCTTCCTCCCCTGGCTCTCTTCAGGTACCTTGCAGTTTTTTTAAAGGAGCATGGGCGGGTGGTGTACACTGAAGTCAATAACGCGTACATTGACATAATGAGCAAGGTAGGGATTGTGGTGCATGCTTGGCGTTTGCATCATAGCAAGGTCTGGGCACGTAGTTGCATGACTTGGCCTTGGCGAAAAGGGGATGTGGTTGCTTCTCCGTGTTCCCTCACATCCAACTGCATGTCATCGTACATACGTATCATCGTACATACATATCATTGTACATATCATCACTGCGAAGAAGCCTTTGGATGTGACGCATTGAGTCTCGGATTCCCATTTTGCTCTCCCCACTCCCCCTCCTGCCGCACTCGCTCGGCCCCCTCCCCCCCCCTCTCCCCCCCCCCCTTGCCACAGGTGCTGTCGCTTCATCTGTGCACCTACATCTCCTCCCTGGAGAAGCTGCAGCTCGACATTGTCTTGCGCACAGACCTGATCGGAGTGGACGACAGCAACAAGCTCTCAAAACACCCACCCTGCTCCTCTCCTCCCCACCTCCCTCTCCCCCCCCCCCCTCCCCCACCCCCACCAGGTCTTGTCTCTTCATCTGCGCACCTACGTCTCCTCCCTGGCGGCGAAGCTGCAGCTCGACATTGTCTTGCGCACGGACCTGATCGGAGTGGAATACAGCAAGGAGTTCCAGACACACTCATCCTGCTCCTCTCCAACGTACCCTCTCCTCCCCACCTCTCCCCCTTGCCAACAGGTCTTGTCTCTCCATCTGCGCACCTACATCTCCTCCTTGGAGAAGCTTCAGCTTGACATCGTGTCGCGCACAGACCTGATTGGAGTGGACGATAGCAACAAGCTCGCACAGACCATCTTTGGTCGCGCGGGAAGGGACCTCAAGAACCGATCAGCAGTCTTCTCATTAGGCAGCAGAGACCAGGTGCTATTGGGCTTGGATTTGACTTCATAGGAGTGGATGACAGCAGCAACAAGCTTGCGCAGACCGTCTTTGGTCGCGCTGAGCGGGACCTCAAGAACCGGTTAACAGTTTTTTCTTTTGGGCAGCTGAGACCAGGTGCTTAAGGGTCTGGACTTGTTGATGCCACTAAACCGCATGTTGGGTTTTGTTGATGCCAGAATCCCGCCCTCATGCTGGGTTTTAGGGGGGAGGGGCGGATAGCAACAAGCTCGCGCAGACCATCTTGGGCAGTGCAGGGAGGGGACCTCAAGAACCCTCTCGATCCCTCTCTAACCCTCTCTATCCCTCTCTATCCCTCTCACCATGTTCTAAGTGTGGAGGAGCCGGCTATCATCCCACAGATCAGGTGTCGGCAAACAGCATAAAACCTCTCTATCCCCCTCTATCCCTCTCCATCCCTCTCTATCCCTCTCACCAGGTGCTAAGTGATGTGGAGGAGCCGGCCATCATCCCACACATTGCAGAGGCGGACAAGAACAAGCACCCCTACGAGGTGCTGTTCCGGTCACTGCACAAGCTGCTCATCGACACGGCCACGTCAGAGTAAGCCTCGCCCAGTCGTGAGGTGCGCAGGCTCGTCTATTCATAAAGACCGTTGTATGTGAGGTGCACTGGCTCGTCTATTGATAAAGACCGTTGTATGTGAGGTGTGCAGGCTCGTCTATTGATAAAGACCGTTGTATGTGAGGTGCACAGGCTCGTCTATTGATAAAGACCGTTGTATGTGAGGTGCACAGGCTCGTCTATTGATAAAGACCGTTGTATGTGAGGTGCACAGGCTCGTCTATTCATAAAGACCGTTGTATGTGAGGTGAGGTACATTGACCCCTCTAGGGTTTAGGCTGCCTTTATGTGACTTCTTCTCTCTTCTCTCTAACACTCAGTCATACACTCTCTAACGCTCACCACCTCTGTATGTCTCCCACCCACCCACCTGCTATTCGTCTCCCTCTCTCCAATCGCCACCCATCAGGTTTCTTTTCTGCAAGGAATTCTTTGGGGACGACTCGACCTTCCATGCAGTCTTTGCAGGTCAGCTTCTCATTGCAATCTCCATCCTGCACGTCCTTCGATAATACCAGCAAGTCCCTGATTGTTTGATTGATGGGCGTGCGTCCTAACTGCCTGGAGCAGAGCTCGTCAGTCAGCTTCTCATTGAAATCCCCATCCTGCATGTCCGTGGTCACAAGAAAGTCCCTGACTTTCATGTGATGCATCCCCATCCATCATGTGATGGCTGTGCATCCTAACTACCTCAATAATTATTTTTGAATCGACTCAAAAGTCACCTCGATAATTGTTTTTGAGTCGACTCAAAAGTCACCTCGATAATTATTTTTGAGTCGACTCAAAAGTCACCTGGTCACAAGAAAGTCCCTGACCATGTGATGGCTGCGCATCCTAACTACCTTGATAAGAGCTAGCTCTACATGAGTATCGCCCCTCCTTGCCCCTCTTCCCCTCATTCATCCCCCTCCCCCAGGTCCCTTTGCTGTCATCGATGAGCATTTTGCAGTCGTGCTGCCCAATTGCTATGGTTTGATCCGACCCTAGATGCAGAGCGCCCCTCCCTCCTTGCCTCTCTTCCACTCGATACCCCTTTTCCTCCCCCAGGTCCCTTTGCTGTGATCGATGAGCACTTCGCAGCTGTGCTGCCCAACTGCTACGACGCCATTGGGCTGCTGCTGATGATCAGGATGACGAGGCAATTCCAGGTGCGTGAGGAGACTGTTTTTGCCAGAGGCGCCTCAAAAACGAGGCAATTCCAGGTGAGGATTCGCCAGGGAAGAGCTGATGTATTGACCTAGTCCACCCTTGTTGAAGCGCCTCAAAATTGGATTCGCCTGGGAAGAGCTGATGTATTGACCTAGTCCACCCTTGTTGAGGCGCCTCAAAATTGGATTCGCCAGGGAAGAGCTGATGTATTGACCTAGTCCACCCTTGTTGAGGCGCCTCAAAATTGGATTCGCCAGGGAAGAGCTGATGTATTGACCTAGTCCACCCTTGTTGAGGCGCCTCAAAATTGGATTCGCCTGGGAAGAGCTGATGTATTGACGTAGTCCACCCTTGTTGAGGCGCCTCAAAATTGGATTCGCCTGGGAAGAACTGAATTTCTGACCTAATCCACTCCTCCCAATGGGTTTGTGTTTGTGCCATTGTGTTGTTAAACTCCTTTCCTTCAATTTCGTCCCCTTCTCTCCCCTCGTCCGCCCCTTTTCTCCCCTCGTCCGCCCCTTTTCTCCCCTCGTCCGCCCCTTTTCTCCCCTCGTCCGCCCCTTTTCTCCCCTCGTCCGCCCCTTTTCTCCCCTCGTCCGCCCCTTTTCTCCCCTCGTCCGCCCCTTTTCTCCCCTCGTCCGCCCCTTTTCTCCCCTCGTCCGCCCCTTTTCTCCCCTCGTCCGCCCCTTTTCTCCCCTCGTCCGCCCCTTTTCTCCCCCTTTCCGCCCCTTTTCTGCCCTTTTCTGCACTTTTACCACTTTCAGGACATCATGAAAGCAAGGAAGGTCAACTGCTTGGATCAGTACTTTGACAAGGTGAGGTTATCCCTTTGCTTTGGTTGAAAGTCTCACTTTTCACATTGCATTTTGTATAATCAAAAGTGAGGTGAGTTCAAAAGCAGATCTCCACTGTGAAGTGAGGTGAGTTCAACCGAGGTAGGCTTAAGTAAGGCCAGGTTTAGTGACTTGAGATTCGGTGCACCTGCTCCGCCCCCTTCCTTTTAAAAGTTTCTCCCTAGCTCCAGCCCGCCCAGCTCACATGGCTGAAGGCACGTGATAGAAGGTTTGTTTTGAGGCGTCTCAAAAACACACCCCTCCTTTTTAAAAGTGTCTTCCTAGCTGCAGCTCGCCCAGCTCCCATGGCTGAAGGCACCTGCTCCGCTTCCTCCCTTTGCTCTCCCGCCCTTTTTTGACAAGGGCCTGCCTGTCTGGCTGCAAAACCCTGGTTTCCCCTATGCAGGTTCTTCCAGCCAGATGGGAGAGAGATGCATCTCTCCCATCCTCCCTTGCCGGCCACGCTCCCCTTGTCTTGTGTGTGCCTCCCCCTCCCCCCCTTATCTCCCAGGTGAACCTGCTCCTCTGGCCGCGGTTCAAGCTCGTGTTTGACCTTCATCTAGGCAGTCTACGCCAGGCGAACCCGCGCGCGCTGTGGGAGCAGGACGTGCACCCGCACTACGTGGCGCGGCGGTACGCGGAGTTTGCAGCGTCGCTCATGACGCTCAACACGGCCCACGGCGACGGCCAGCTCGAGCTCAACCTGGACCGGCTGCGGAGTGCCGTGGACCACCTGCTGGTGGAGATCTCAAGGCTGTTTCCGAAGCCCAAGCAGCGCACAGTGTTTCTGATCAACAACTACGACCTCATTCTGGCTGTGCTCAAGGTATGTACCTCTATGTACCTCACTTGTAATCTGGGTTTGGAGAGGCTCAGCTCAGGAGCGCTGTGGATCACCTGCTGGTGGAGATTTCCAGGCTGTTTCTGAAGCCCAAGCAGCGGACAGTGTTTCTCATTCTCATCAACAACTATGACCTCATTCTGGCTGTGCTCAAGGTCTGGCCTTTGCTCCATTCAGTTATCCTGTTTCTCTCCCCACAGCCCTTGATTGATTGAATCACCGTCTCTCAGCTCATGTGCTCGTCGTGAGTGACCCACTCTTGTTTTCCCATAGACTCACTCACCCTGCTTTTCGCTCCTGCTGTCCCCTCTCGCGTGTTCATGTCTCCCTGTGGCGCTGCCGTCTCCCTTTTTCTGCCCGTGCTGCTGCGTTCAGGAGGCGGGGGTGGAGGAGGGCCGGACTCAGCGCCACTTTGCAGAGCTGCTGAGCTCGTTCTCAACCATCTTCGTGGTACGCCCGCCTTCCAGTGGGGTGCTTGCCTTCCAGATGTGCGTTGTGAAACGAGAGCCTGCTTTCCTCCTCGAAGAAAACGTGTGATGTGACCTTGTGACGTTGTGACATTGTCATGAGGTGGCTTTTGAGTCGATTCAATAGTCATCAAGGTTACGACCTCCTCGTGTCATGATCACACGTTACGGCCTGCCCTCCTCTCTCCACGTGTCGTGATCACATGTTACGGCCTGCCCTCTTCTCTCCACGTGTCACGACCTGCTCCCCCTTCCACGTGGCAGGAGGAGGAGCTACACGAGTACTTCAGGGGACTTGTGGACTTTGTCAAGAAGAGAACAGGTGGGATATTTTTGGGATTTTAAAAGTTCTCAGGATTTAAAAAAATAATCCATAGTAGACTTCAGGAATTCCTAAAAATCTCTCACAAGGACTTGTGGACTTTGTCAAGAAGAGAAGTGGGTTGCACTATGGGTGTGTATGTGGTGTGTGTGTTCGTGTGGTGTGTGTGTCCGGGGGGGGGGGGGGGGGGGGGGGGAACACATATTTGTGTGTACTTGTGCGTGTTCTCCCTTGAGTTTCGTGGGCGCTAGCTCACGCGTGCGTGCTCTGTGAGCCATACACTACCATGTTTGTGGCACTGGCAGCACAGCGGGGCGTACGGTGGAAGCTGTTTCCGTTGCACCTCCCTCCCCCACCCCCCCCCCTTTGGCCCCACACAGACACTCGTTTAGGCACAGGCGGCAAAACAGCAGGTGCAGTGGCAGCACGCAGCAGCACAGCGTGGCGCAAGATGGACGCTGCTCCTACTACCACCCCAACCCCCCCACACACACACACACTCTCCTCTCCCCTCGCCCTCCAACACACCCCTCCCATTCAGGCACTGGCGATGAGACAGCAGACGCAGTGGCAGCACAGCAGGACGCAAGGTGGATGCTGCTCCTTCTACCACCCCGCACCCCCCACCGCACACACACACACACACTCTTCTCCCCTAGCCCCCCAACACAACCCTCCAGTGCGGGCACTGGCAGGGCGGTGAGACAGCAGACGCAGTGGCAGGACGCAGCAGCACTGGCAGCACAGCAGGGCGCGAGGTGGATACTGCCCCTACTACGCCCCAACCCCCCCCAACACACACAACCCCTCTCCCCCACCCCACTTCCCCCCCACACACCCCTCCCTACTGGCACTGGCGATGAGACAGCAGACGCAGTGGCAGCTCGCAGCAGCACTGGCAGCACAGCGTGCCACAAGGTGGATGCTGCTCCCACTTCAACTCCTCCCCCCTCCCTCCTCCCCTTCCCCTCCCTCCTCCCCTTCCCCTCCCTCCTCCCCCTCCCCTCCCCCTCTCCCCTCCTTCCCTCCAACGCACCCCTCCCTACAGGCACTGGCGATGAGACAGCAGACGCAGTGGCAGCTCGCAGCAGCAGTGGCAGCACAGGGGGGCACAAGGTGGTCGCTGCACCCATCACAGCTAAAGAGGTGGAGCCTCACCTCAAGGACTTCGCTGTCCGATGGAAGGTGAGGCTGGAGAATTAGGGGAGGGTAGATGGTTGAGATGGGGATTCCCTTGAGTTGACTTAGAAGGTGGATGCTGCTCCCTCCCATCACAGCCAAGGAGTCGGAGCCTCACCTCAAGGACTTTGCTGTCAGATGGAAGGTGAGGAATCGCTGAGGTGAAGTGGGATTGCACTCGCAGCACAGCTAGATGCAAGGTGGATGCTGCACCCATCGCAGCCAAGGAGGTGGAGCCTCATCTCAAGGACTTCGCAGTCCGATGGAAGGTGAGAGGAGGGGGAGGATTCTCGTGTGTCAACCCAAAAGGGCGTTTTTAAGAATTCTCAAAGGGCGTTTATTAGAATTCTCAAAGGGTGTTTACTATTTTGCAGGGCGTTGTTGAGAATTTTCAAAAACGCCCTGCACAACCAATGGAAGGTGAGAGGAGGGGGGAGGATTCTCGTGTGTCAACCCAAAAGGTGGATGCTTCTCAATGGAGCAGCTCTGGCAGAGCAGCAGGATGCTGCTCCCATGGCAGCTAAGGAGACAGAGCCGCATCTCAAGGACTCTGCTGTCCAATGGAAGGTGGGGAGCTGGGATGGAATCTCTTGATACCTGAGGTGAAGTGGCATAGCTCTGGCAGCACAGCGGGGTGCAAGGTGGATGCTGCACCCGTGGGAGCGAAGGAGGTGGAGCCACATATCAAGGGGGTCCATTTTTTAGGCGCCTAAGAAACAGCTGCATCTCTCAAGGCCTTTGCTGTCAGATGGAAGGTGAGGGAAAGGAGATGGGAGGAAGAAAGCAGGAGCCATCGCACTGCAGAGCTGGTATGCAGAAGGGCGTTATTCCTTCCACTGTCGTTTTTTTAGTTTCTTTATATTCCCACGTGCCTCAGCCCACCATCGATCTGATCCACTAGGATATCGTCAACAACTTCAGCACCATCAAAGCCCCACATGCCACATGTCACATGCCACAAGCCACATGGCACATGGTACATGCCACATGCCAACCATCCCATGCCACATGTCATCCCACCCGCCTCCCTCATCCGACTCGCTCAGGCCACCATCGATCTGATCCACAAGGCATCATCGCCAACTTCAGCAGCTTTGTGTGCGGCATTGCTGTTGTCGGCCTGCATCGATGCAATGCCATGGGCCTGACGGACAAGGAAGCTGCCATTCCCCCATCTTTCACATCCCACATGCAGGCCCCCATCGATCTGATCCACTACGGCATTATCACCAGCTTCGGCCACTACCAAGCTCTCATGCTCCCATTCTACTTCCCCCCCACCATAGATCTGATTCACTGTAGATCTGATTCACCGTAGATCTGATTCACAAGGACATCATCATCACCAGCTCCAGCAACTTTGTGTGTGGAATTGATATCACCTCCCTTGATCATGCCACATGCCTCACACCATACGCCACTGCGACCCCTCCTCCACGTGCCACCGGCCACCATTGATCTGATCCACCAGGACATCATCACCAACTTCAGCAACTACCTAGCTCGCATCCCCACATCCCCCATTCATGCCACCATCGATCTGATCCACAAGGACATCATCCCCAGGTTCAGCAACTTCGTTTGACAAATCGATATTGTCTCCCTTGATCAAGCCCACGTGCCACATGCCACATGCCTCACACCTCGTGCCACACACCCCGTGCCACTCCCCCTCCATCCCTCATTCAGGCCACCATCGATCTGATCCACAAGGACATCATCACCAACTTCAGCAACTACCTAGCTCTCATCCCCCCATCCCACATCCCCATGTGCCACATGCAGGCCACCATCGATCTGATCCACAAGGACATCATCACCAACTTCAGCAACTTCGTGTGTGGAATGGACATCCTCAGAGCTGCCCTCACGCAACTACTGCTCTACTACACCCGCCTTTCCGACTGCCTCAAGGTGTGTCTTGAACAGTTAAGCTGCTGCTGTAAAGCACAGACTACTCCTTCCACTGAACTGCTCCTCTGTTATGCGCACCTCACCGCTACCTCTTGGTGCATCTGAAGGTGACTTGATGATGTAGCGTCCGACCACATTCTTGAATGCCGCTCCTGTTGCCTTGCCTGTTGATCCTGCTCGTCGTTTCCCATGCCTTGGTACGTGTGGTTCTCACATCTATGCTCATGTCTCACGCATGTTTGTTACTGCGTTGTGTGTGTATGTTATTCTTTGTGTGTCCACTTCTTTTTTATGTGGCGGTTGTGACTATAGCGAGTGGAAGGAGGAGCCTCGTTAATGAAGGACGTGGTCTCCATACCGTCCATAATGTACGAGATTCGCAAGTACAGCCTCACGTTCTGACACCCGGCCGATTGCCTCTTACATACAGCCATCTTTGTTTAACCCACGGCAACTGCTCTCTGTGGCATCCTATCAATACCTTCCATCATGTGCGAGATGCATAAATACAGATTCGTCGTCTTAGATTCTTCGTCAAGCGTTGTCGACTACTATTAGAGCTCTGAGTATTCAGATTATTCGTCCAATTTCAAGAGTTGTTTGTGGTTTCTTGTATTCACTATCTATGCCAACTCTAGGCCACAACTCACCATTGCAGGTAATTTCCAGTGTAGTATGATTTGTTTGTATGTCTGCCGAAATCTTAACATCCTCTGGTAAATCGCATATCGAAACACTCGTAAAACGAGAGTGACCAAACTGAAAGTGACCTAACTGCGAGTGGCCAGATCAAGAGACAACAGACACCACATTTCCTCCACTTCTAGCACGGCTAGCACCTCACCTCGTCGCGCCGAAACTGCGAGTTGTAGCAGGAGAGAACGCCGCAGAAAGTGAAACTCTTGCAGGCTTAGCTGATGGGACTCCGTTCCTGCCCGGCATTACCCTCATTCCGAAGCGTTGCCGCATCCCTCGCATCTCGGCCGTACCTCGCATCCTCGTTCGCACTGCTGTACCTAGCGTCGTGTGCCAACGCACCGCCGATCCACGCGACTGCCCTCGTAGACTTCCACCCTAACCGGCAGTCGGGAGAAACTGCTAAGAGTATTTGTCAGCGCAGGAGCTTAAAAGCCATGCCGTCGTATTTCATTACGATGGGCGGCACGTTGTGTACCCGTGTAACGTCGTTACCATCAACGGACGTGATCAAGCCTCACCATCTCACTAATGTCTCGTCCAACGGCAGCAACCCGCAGCCGCCATTACCGCCTTTTGGCCCCTCTCGAATGCCCACTTCTGGTTCCTCTCGCCTTAGCTTAAATCCATCTTCCTGGCAACGATCGGTCAGCAGCATCAGCCGGCAAAACTACCCAGCGAATGTAGCTAAGAAGTTACCACGGATTCCCAGAGCATGCAGCGGAGAAGGGCAAGAGGGTAGCGGACAAAAAGCTGGTGCAACTTCAGTCTCTTCCGATTCTGAGTCTTTGCCGCCCAACCCTTCACCTTCCAGCACCTCACCATTGGACACGTCACCATCTGATCCCTTGTCCGTGTGCGTCATGCGTACTGCCATCCTGACATGCCCTGGACACGTGGCTGTAAGTGATCTGCCGTGTTCTTGAGAACTGAAACCCTGGAACGATCCTGAAGTCTTAACCCCTGGAACTTAAGCCCTGAACTTTCAACCTTGCACCCTGAACCCTGAACCCTTAAACCCCGAGCCCTTAGCCCTGCGCCCCTTTCGACTTGCCTTTCCAGTTGATCACATTTCAGGAGCGTTTATGATTCCTCAAAGGACGCACGGTTAATGTCCATCCTCCTGGCCAATCCATGCACAGTCCGTGTGCAATGAGTCTATTTTTTAGTCGACTAAAAAATAGACGCACAAAGGACGCACGTTTGATGTCAATCATCCTGGCCAATCCATGTACTCCAGATTCCCCCACCCCCCCCCCCCCCCCCCCCCTCCCCACCCCCCAATTCCAGATTCCCTCCTATTGACACCCCATTCCTCCCCATGTACACCCAGGACGCATTAATGGACGCTCTCTTATCGCTAGGAGCCAGTACGTGCTCAATAGAGGATGCCAATACGGGCACAGAGGCCGAACAGGAGGTAGGGGGATGGGCAGGAGGCATGGGTTAATTATTATGTGCGGGGGGAGTCCTCCCGAGTGCCTGAAAGACTTTCTTGAATCGCTTTGTGAAGATTCGGTGTCATGCTGAAAATGTTATGGCGATTACGGCTATCTGGGGAAGTGTGACTGTTCGAGCAGTGTGGTTTCGAGTCGTGTTTGCACCCATGTATTTCTTGAATTTCTCAAGTTGCTGGAAAAAAAATAAAAATAAAAATGTGCCAACACACTCTCCCTTGTGTCATTGCACTCCTCACTCATTCTCTCTTCCATCCCTTCCCACTTGTGGCACATGCACATGCACGCACGTGTCCTCTTACAAATGCATATCAACACATCCCTACGCATGATCCCATCACCCACTCTCACCACCCACTCACACCACCCACTCTCACCACCCACTCACACCACCCACTGCAGATCTATTCGTCCGGCCCCATTCCCTGGGACCCAAGTGGCCCCCGCAGCCTCTGGAACCAGGTAAAGGGTTTGAAATCTCTTTTTAGGCCCCGATGCCCCGATGGTGAAGGGCCACTTTTTAGGCGCCTCGGAAGTCAGGTAAGGGGCCTTTTTTTTCACTGTAATCTGACCAAGTGCAACCACTCTAGACCCCAGGACACGCGCGCGTGCGCGCGCACACACACACACACACACACACACACACCCACACCCACACCCACACTCACACCCACACCCACACCCACACACACACACACCCACACCCACACCCACACACACACACACACACACACAGAGAAGGAAACCCAAAAAAAATCCGTTCCAGTAGTCCCCACCTGGCATCCTTTCATTCTCCCTCCCTGTGTCTGGCTACTCCGCCCGTCCATTCGTTCGTCCGTTGTAGCTCCTCTCCTGCACTCCTTACCTGTACTCCTCTCCTGCACTCCTTACCTGTACTCCTCTCCTGCACTCCTCTCCCTTCGCACTCCTCTCCTCTCCCCTCCCCCCCGCTTTCCCCTCATTCTCTTGCGTGTACGGACCGCACCAGACTCAACTCAGGGCGTCTAAAAAACATACCCCCACCTGCTCCCATCCCACCCCCCAACCCCTCCTCCCCCCTCCTCCCCCCTCCTCCCCCCCTTTCAACCCCCGCTTTCCCCTCATTCTCCTGCGCGTACTGACTGCACCAGACTCGACTCAGGGCGTTCTTTCCAGCCAATCAGAGCGAGGGGGACATCCGCAGCACTGTTGCGCGGGCGGCAGCTGCAGTGCAGTGGGGGGGGGAAGGGTGGGGGGAGGAGGCAGATGGGGAGGCAGGAGGAGAAGAGGAGGGGGGGGGGGAGGAGAAGAGGTGGTGTCACTCCTGGGAGTGGAGGAGGTGGTGGAGAGGGACTGGGTGCAGCAAGTGCAGGTGGGTCTTGGGGGCGACAGTAGAGGCGTATTACATTACAATACAGTGCAATACACTGGCAATGGGGTTGTCACTGCTAGGAGCGGAGGAAGTAGGGGAGAGGGACTGGGTGCAGCAAGTGCAGGTGCAGATAATCACAAGAGACTGCTATCGAAGAAATCGGTTCCCAGGCGCCCCAGAAGATAATTGAAAGATTTTTCAGTCTCCTAAAAAAACAGTTAGTGCAGGCAGGTGACTGTAATCAGTTTCCAGGGGCCTCAGAGCACTGAAGACTGTACTTTTGAGGCACCTCAAAAATAGCCTGGGACCTGGGTGCAGCAAGTGCAGGCAGGTGAGGATCATCACCAGCAGAGTTTGTAATCAATTTCCACGGCTTCCACGGTTTCTGTGGGCCTCAGAGAACTGAAGAGTACTTGTTGGTCCCTGGCCCGGCAGTTTCTGGTTCTCTGGTCTCACTGCTGCATTGAGACCAACGAGAAGTGTCTGGTCTCACTGCTGCATTGAGACCAACGAGAAGTGTCTGGTCTCACTGCTGCATTGAGACCAACGAGAAGTGACTGGTCTCACTGCTGCAGCTTCTCTGAGGCTTACGCCGGCAACTGTTGAAAGAGGGGATATTGGTGGGTAAAAGCCAACAAATTTTGAGGCGCCTCAAAAACTGTTGAAAGAGGGGATATTGGTGGGTAAAAGCCAACAAATTTTGAGGCGCCTCAAAAACTGTTGAAAGAGGGGATATTGGTGGGTAAAAGCCAACAAAATTTTGAGGCGCCTCAAAAACTGTTGAAAGAGGGGATATTGGTGGGTAAAAGCCAACAAATTTTGAGGCGCCTCAAAAACTGTTGAAAGAGGGGATATTGGTGGGTAAAAGCCAACAAATTTTGAGGCGCCTCAAAAACTGTTGAAAGAGGGGATATTGGTGGGTAAAAGCCAACAAATTTTGAGGCGCCTCAAAAACTGTTGAAAGAGGGGATATTGGTGGGTAAAAGCCAACAAATTTTGAGGCGCCTCAAAAACTGTTGAAAGAGGGGATATTGGTGGGTAAAAGCCAACAAATTTTGAGGCGCCTCAAAAACTGTTGAAAGAGGGGATATTGGTGGGTAAAAGCCAACAAATTTTGAGGCGCCTCAAAAACTGTTGAAAGAGGGGATATTGGTGGGTAAAAGCCAACAAATTTTGAGGCGCCTCAAAAACTGTTGAAAGAGGGGATATTGGTGGGTAAAAGCCAACAAATTTTGAGGCGCCTCAAAAACTGTTGAAAGAGGGGATATTGGTGGGTAAAAGCCAACAAATTTTGAGGCGCCTCAAAAACTGTTGAAAGAGGGGATATTGGTGGGTAAAAGCCAACAAATTTTGAGGCGCCTCAAAAACTGTTGAAAGAGGGGATATTGGTGGGTAAAAGCCAACAAATTTTGAGGCGCCTCAAAAACTGTTGAAAGAGGGGATATTGGTGGGTAAAAGCCAACAAATTTTGAGGCGCCTCAAAAACTGTTGAAAGAGGGGATATTGGTGGGTAAAAGCCAACAAATTTTGAGGCGCCTCAAAAACTGTTGAAAGAGGGGATATTGGTGGGTAAAAGCCAACAAATTTTGAGGCGCCTCAAAAACTGTTGAAAGAGGGGATATTGGTGGGTAAAAGCCAACAAATTTTGAGGCGCCTCAAAAACTGTTGAAAGAGGGGATATTGGTGGGTAAAAGCCAACAAATTTTGAGGCGCCTCAAAAACTGTTGAAAGAGGGGATATTGGTGGGTAAAAGCCAACAAATTTTGAGGCGCCTCAAAAACTGTTGAAAGAGGGGATATTGGTGGGTAAAAGCCAACAAATTTTGAGGCGCCTCAAAAACTGTTGAAAGAGGGGATATTGGTGGGTAAAAGCCAACAAATTTTGAGGCGCCTCAAAAACTGTTGAAAGAGGGGATATTGGTGGGTAAAAGCCAACAAATTTTGAGGCGCCTCAAAAACTGTTGAAAGAGGGGATATTGGTGGGTAAAAGCCAACAAATTTTGAGGCGCCTCAAAAACTGTTGAAAGAGGGGATATTTGTGGGTAAAAGCCAACAAATTTTGAGGCGCCTCAAAAACTGTTGAAAGAGGGGATATTGGTGGGTAAAAGCCAACAAATTTTGAGGCGCCTCAAAAACTGTTGAAAGAGGGGATATTTGTGGGTAAAAGCCAACAAATTTTTATACTGAAACACCTTCCATGCCTGTTGCTTCTCCGCCTGTCCGCCCTACCTGGCTGCCCTACCTGTCTGCTCGACCTGTCTGCCCGACCTGGCTGCCCGACCAACTTTTGATATTGAAACACCTGCCACGGCTGTTGGTTCTCCACCTGGCTGCCCGACCTGTCTGCCCGACCTGTCTGCCCTGCCTGTTTGCCTGACCTGTCTGCCCTGCCTCTCTGCCCTGCCTCTCTGCCCGACCTGGCTGCCCGACCTGTCTGCCCTTCCTGTTTGCCTGACCTGTCTGCCCTACCTGGCTGCCCTACCTGGCTGCCCGACCTGGCTGCCCGACCTGGCTGCCCGGCCTGGCTTCCCGACCTGGCTGCCCGACCTGCAGGACTCGTTTCATCCCATACGCGTGGACGAGGGGCTTTGGATCGTGCCCTCGTGGGCCACACTGCCGGATGAGGTAAGCTCTAGGTATGCCCTGCTTTGGAAACAGTCACTCTAGGTTGGAAGGGCACAGTGCCAAGCCTAAGAGAGAAGCTTGAGCAAGAAAAGAGCGAAAGTGTAAAAGTACCTGGTGGGCCACACTGTCGGATGAGGTAAGCTCTAGGGATGCCCTGCTATGCGGCTGGGGTTGTCTCACAGCACGCATTGCTCCCGAGTTGAAAGGTTTCTCTTGTCTGCACTCGGGAGTATCTCACCTCACCTCGATTTTCTCAACCAGGCCTCGCCTTTGGTTAAGTAGTTAAGTTGTGAGACCTCTCAAAACTGATTTTCTCAAAATTGATTTTTTCAAAACTGATTTTCTCAGAACTGATTTTTTCAAAACTGATTTTCTAAAAACTGATTTTCTAAAAACTGATTTTCTCAAAACTGAGTTTCTCAAAACTGATTTTCTCAAAACTGATTTTCCCAGAACTGATTTTCTCAGAACGGATTTTCTCAATACTGATTTTCTCAATACTGATTTTCTCAAAACTGATTTTCTCAAAACTGGTTTTCTCAAAACTGGTTTTCTCAAGCAGGCCTCGCCTTTGGATCGTGCCCTCGTAGGCCACACTGCCGGATAAGGCACAGTCGGGCCGCCCAGTCAGTCGGCATATGGTCTCGGGGTGCACTGTCATGTTGTTGGGATAATGTTTGTTCTCTTTTGTCGGGAGTATCTCACTCACCTAGATATTCCCAAGCAGGCATTACCTTCGGTGCCTGAAACCGGCCACCACTAGTGTATCGGTACACGTGACCATCCCACGATGCGCCTCTGACTGTTCTTTGTCCTCGTTGTCCTCCCTTTCGCCCTCAGCCTTCACACGGCAAACCACTGACCGACCATAACGCTACAGCCCGGCCGTGCCTTAGGTACGGCCGACCACCACTCGCCTCTCACTTTCAACCTGTTCAAGTCAGGTCACTCACGATAACGCCTGAGCCCGGCCGTGCCTTAGGTACGGCCGACCACCCCACTACTCGCCTCTGACTTTTTTTTAGGCGCCTCAGCACCCGGCCGTGCCTTTGGTATGGCCGACCACCCCATCACTCGCCTCGGACTTTTGAGTCGACTCAAAAGTCGGCGCCCATCCCACCACCTGCCTCTGCTTGCGCTGCCTGCGGTCCGTTGTGACATCTGCTTCTCCCTCCACCCCCGTCCTCTTTCAGCCTGTTCAAGTCAGGTCACTGGCGATAACGCTTGAGCCCAGCCTTGCCTTTGGTACGGGCGACCACCTCACCACCTGCATCTACCTGTGCTGCCTGCGCTCAGACGTGACACCTGCCTCTCCTTTTCCTCCCCCACCCAAACCCACCCCCACCCCCCCCTCCCCCCCTTCCTTCCTCCCCCGCCCCCCTCTTTCAGCCTATACAAAACAATTCACTGGCGATTACTCTTGAGCCTGGTCTCGCCTTCGGTACAGGGGACCACCCCACCACCCGCCTCTGCTTGCGCTGGCTGCGGTCGGTCGTGACACCTGGCAGCACGCTATTGGACTACGGCGCGGGGTCTGGCATCCTTGCGATTGCAGGAATCAAGGTACTGCATTCTTCCCATGTCTTGCACGTCAGTCTTGTTGGGGTCACTTCTAAGTCGACTCAAAAGTCGTCAGACTCAGAACGCGGACGTAACAGTGTGATGTACTGCGTTCCCATTCCATGTACATCAGACTTTCATCGTACCCAGAAAAACCATTCTCTTGGACCTGAATTATCTGTCTTTTGATGTCAATTTCTCTACCACTTACCTAACAACCTCTCCTTCCACTCCCCCTCTATCTCTAGCTTCCTCTTCCCCACCCTCCCCTTCCCTTCCTTCCGATCTCATATCCCTTACAAATCACCCCAGTTGGGAGCAGCAGCAGCTGTGGGCGTGGACATAGACGAGCTGTCAGTGGCAGCAGCAGCGCACAATGCCTCCCTCAACAGCATCCCCCCTTCGCAATTCACCGTCCTTCTCACACATCCGGATGGCCCAGACCCCCTAAACGAGTTTGACAACAGTGAAGCAAGAGAGACCAATGCTACTGAATCTAAGCTCGCTGACGGTGTAACGGTGCCAGCCCTGCCCGCTGAGCTGACGGCATTTGATTCATCGGCACCACTTGTGCAGTTTGATGTCGTGGCTGCCAACATTCTCGTGAACCCTCTTATCCTATTGGCTGAGCGGATTTCGTCCCGAACCAAGCCTGGGGGTAGGCTTGGGCTGTCAGGCATCTTGACCAATCAGGTATGGTCTGGTTGAATTGATTTTGGGGTCGGATACACGAAGGTGGTCGTGTATCTGTGCTGTTCAAGTACAGTCTCATTGATATTGATTACGGTTAATGAGGTGTTTTTCTCTTCCATTCTTGTTGTCATTTGCTTCTTCCATCATTTCTCATTCATCTCTTTCTATGGCAGGTGGACTCAGTAGTTACAGCATATGTTCCTTATGCAACAGTGATTTCTGTTGAAGAGGAGGATGGGTGGGCTCTCGTTTACTTGCAAAGAAACCATTGATTTTTCAAGATTCATTTGCTCTCTGAAAGTGCTCCTAAGTGGCCATGCTGCACAAATGTATTCTCTGGTTTTGAATCTCCTTGTTCCGTTCAAGAGTTTGTACTTCCGAGACTCGAAAAGCTCCACAACATGCGTATAAGAGGATCGCTGCTTATGAGTGGTCGAGGCAGATCCCGCCATGAAGTCCTATCGGTATAACCGAGGCACTCCGGTCCAAGGGCGTGTGTGGCACGTACGTTTGATTGCGGTTGGTTAAGGCGCTAGTGGATTTAGAAGGTCCAAATAGCGATCGGAAACGGTTGGGTAGGGTATTGAGCGAGAAACGTACGCCCAAATCACGCCCTCCGATCACCTCTCTCAACCCAAGCTTGTAGTAGACATATGCTCCAGGGATAGTTGTAGCAGGCAGCAGTCAAGCGACCTGCCTATCGATCGCTTCGATCAGCTTTGAATCAGACTTCGTGCCTCCATAAGGATAATTTAGTCGCAGGTTTATACATGTGTACTCTGGGAGTAAGTTAATGCAAGCGAAAGCGCTTTCTCAGTGGGCGACAATGCTGAGACGTCCTGGTAGCTCCGGTAATTTGTGGTAGCGTGCGGTAGTGGGTGGTAGTGTGGCGATCGGTGGTGGTAATCCGTGGCTATGAGGTCCTCGTCGTCCTTCCTCCCATTGCGCCATGGCGTGCCGCATCGACCGCAGCAGCAGCAGCGGTCCAATCCGCTCTCCCAGATCCACCTCTACCTTTTGTCTCGACTCAATGGTCTCCTCGTACCTCATCATCCGCAGCAGCAGCAACGGTCCAATCCCAATCCGATCTCACAGCTTCACAGCTTCTTCCTGGTCGCAGCCGTTACCTGCAGCGTAGCGTACCTCTCCGCCTACTCGCTCCGCTCGTCCGCATTCACGAATTTCGCACCTCAGCCGCGTCCAGGCGGCCTTCCAGAAGAATCGGGAGGTTTTAAAAATCCGGAGTCATCCCCGTTAGTGCGACAATCGCGTCTGCCTCCAGAGTCCGACTCAGTGACACCTTCTGTCTCCTCTCTGGTTTCAATCCCAACGCTTTCTTCCGCCGCTTCGGCCTCCGTTCCGCTCTCCTCTGAGGAATCCTCGGGAACGTCAGAAGTTCATCGCTCCGGTGATCCCGTTTCGGATCGGACGGTCGGTGGTTCGGTCGGTCCACGTCAGCCAAGTGACGAGAGTGGGGTCAATCGAGCCGGCGTCGCTCTAAAGGCTCGTCAAACGGATTCCGTTAGGCCCGATATAAGCGCCTCGGTCCAACTACAGGAGATTGTCAGTCCGAGGCTACTAAATTCCTCCCCTGCTGACTCTCCTTCCAAGCCTGAAACCGGACCAGACTCCGACCCATCACTTCCGAACCAGACCCCAGACAAAGACCAGCCGGACAGACAGGTTCGGGATGACCAACGACCCTCAGATGACACGTGTTCCCCTCCCATTGGCGTCAAGCTCCCTCCGTCTCCATCAACCTCACCCGAGCCTGTTACTGTAGCACCGGAGTGGATCCCACTACCCAAGCGGTACCTTATGGTGTCATGCACCAACGGCGGGAGCACGAATCGCCTCCTGTGCCTTCAGACCACCATCTTGGCTGCGATACTCCTCAACCGCACGCTGCTCATTCCGGAGGTTCCCCTCTGCATCCCTCGCTCTCTTGGCCGACCGGTGGTCTATTCCGAAACCCTAGACATTGGCTACCTGTCCCGGTGCTTCGGCGACGAGCCAAAGCCAGAGCAGCCAGGTCCGGAAGCAGGTTCGGAAGCGGGTTCGAAAGGAGGCTCGGCGGAGCATGTCTTGGCACCTCGTAGAGTCATGACGACTTCGGAGCTGTTGAAGCTAAGAGGCGGAGGTGGTGGAGCTGAATTAGTAGTCGATAAATTCCTCTGTGGTCAGGTGCAGTACAGCTGCACCCTGGTTGATGGCAGCTGCGGTGACGTTCCCACTGAAATAAAGCTTTCAAAGAAAGAGGTTGTGGGGGAGGAGAGCAGCAATATTTATGACCTGGCTCCTAAGATTGCAGCTGCAACGGCCAACGTTCCTGTCCTTGCTCTTGGCGACCTCTATTTCGCGTTCTTCAAGCTCGGAGACCCCGGTTCAGAATTCTTCTGGCCGAGCCGATTCTTCAATACCCAGTGTGGGCTGCTTTTCCTGCCTCCCCAGCCTGTGCTTGAACAAGCAGCAGGGTTCATACAGGAGTATATTGGGAGGAACTATGCTTCCCTACACCTCCGTCGGACGGATTTTCTTGGGCATAGCCATTGGTTGAGCGATGTACAGTACTGGTCGTTACAGGCTGTGGCGGAGTGTACTGCAGCGAAGATGCTGCAGGTAAATGTGACAAATCTGTTCGTGTCCTCAGATGCTTCTGATGAGGAGGTGGGTGTGTTCACGGATCTGCTGATGTCCCAAGCATCGTTGGCAAGGGCACGGGGGGAGCCATGGTCAGTTGTGGTTGTCAGATTGCCAAAGGAGCCGGTTCAGGAGCCAGCTCAGCGAGCTATGGTGGATAAGCTAGTGGCAGCTCATGCAGTGGTTACGATGTTTACCCATCGGTCAACTTTCTCACACCACATTGGGTATCTTAGGGAGGGCCTGGGCCTTGCATCCTGTCATGATGGACACATATGCCAGGGTAGGCCTCGTGAAGCTGTGGGTATTGAGTGGCAGCACTGATTGTTTTGCATTCGGTATGTGGCATTGTGTTAGGCTATCATAGAGCACCCCACTGTACGTAGCGGTACATAATTTTCCATGCATTAGTGAACAGATCGGTAGAACTAAGGCGAATCCTTGGCCTAGAATGCTCTCCACTCCAGTACGAACATGCTGTCGAATATCAGCCCGAGAAGAGGGGGACTACCGGTGTGCTGGCATCTTCTCCAGCCAATGGCGAAGCTCATTCTCGTGGAGTTGGGTGTGTTGACTGATTTGGCAGCTGTCCTGCCAAATCAGCCGTCCTGCTGTGAGTGAAATCGAGGCTGGCCAAGATTTCTTCGGGAATCACCACGGAGACTCAGTCTCACACTGTGCTAGAAGCCTTATTCATTTCGGCTCACTCTAGTGACGTCCAATTCCATCGTTTACTCTTTCTGCCCTAAATGAGTTTACGTCTGTTGCCTCCCGAATGACAACCAGGTTCCCTCTGGGATTTATTGTAAGGAATTTCCATTCCTTACTGAGTCGGCCGCTACCGCGTACACCCGAACACTTCGACTCGTCACGTTCGGCCTACATTTTCGGCCCAACCTTTTCTCGAGTCGCGCCCGACAGCGTCGCCACATTGTCGAACCTAACCACGTCCGGGTCCGGAGGTTATCGCCCTATTACGTCCACCCCTATATAACCTCGTGCTTTCATGGCAATAGTGACGTTGTATTCTCGCGTTCTAGTACATTGACATTTTCTGAATCATAACAGCTGGTATCAGAGCCCGACCTTTCTCGGAACCTTCCGTTTTCCCAGTTAGTTAGTTAAGGGTGGTCAGAGGGGATTAACACGGCTGCACAGCAGTTGCCTTTGATCGTAAATATTTTTACGTCAACAACTACAGCGTGTGCGCTAGTTTCTGCCCCGTCCTGACCGCCATGGCCCCGGTAGACTCGGCGGTTGAGGAACAGACAACCTCGACTGCTGCGAAATCTGCCCGGGAAACAGTAGACCTGCAAGCATTAATGGAGCAGTTGAATAATTTGACAAGCGTAGTCAACAACCTCCGTGACGAAAACCAACGACTTCGCCAAGCGCAGGAAAGGCATTCAGAGGAGCCGGGCGACGATGCACGAAGCGAGGCGGGTGAGCAGCAACCGACACCAGTGGAGCTGGCACGGCTAGCGGCGACAGCCCCGCGCTCGACAAGTGGCGGCGTGAGATATCAGCAACCCGCTCCTTTCGACCCAGCTAATAAAGGCGTGACGGTGCGGCAGTGGATATTCGCCATGAATATCTACTTTAACGCGGCGGGCATCCGAGACGACCAAAAGCGGATCAGCCACGCGTTGACACTGCTGCAAGGGGCCGCTCTACAGTGGTGGAAGGTCATCGTCGACTCAGCGGCAACTCGCACAGAAGGACAGCATGAGTGGTCCGAAGAATTCGGCGACGAAGACGAGGCAGATTTGCTGTTTGGTGCAACTCACATTCGCACGTGGGCAACGTGGTGCGCAGAGCTTCGCAAGCGGTTTGAGCATGCTCCTGACTCAGACAAAGCGCGGGAAACTTTACGCATGTGGAAGCAGCTGGGACCTGTGTCCGACTACACCGCGTCATTCTTCACGTTGGTGGATCGATGTGGCTACATGCACGAGTTGGAGAAGGTCGACAGGTACATGGGCGGGCTAAAGCCTGAAATACAGTACCAGATAAAATTACAACGACCTGCGAAACGGTTACAAGACTTCATCCAACTCGCCGAAGCCGCTGATTCGCTCACGAAGCCGAAGACGAACTTCTACGACGGAGGTCGCCCTCGAGAACAGTACCAGCGCACTACGATAAAAGGGATGGAAGCAGTGGACATTTACGCAATTGCTCCGCGAAATACGGGGCTATGCTACCACTGTGGCCGACCGGGTCACATCAAACGCAACTGCCAAGAGTTCATAGCCATCCAGAATTCTATGGGGAAGAAGCCGGAGGAGCGACCGGGAAATGGGTCGCGTCAGTAAGTACCGGGCCCCTTACTGACGGGCAGGCTTCCTCGCCCGAACCACATAGTCCCCACCGGGTCGTGATCCCGATTGCAGCAATCGACCGGACCCGGACGAATAAGGGGGACGAAACTGCTGACCATCCTGTGTTGGTGGAGGGTAAAGTCAACGGGGTGTTGCTGAAAATATTCGTGGATGGAGGCGCGAGTCATTGTCTCATACAGCTCGACAGGGCTAAGAAAATGGGTATCCCTTTATTAAAGTGTCTACCCGAAATCGACGCAAGATTGGTGGACGGTACACCGTTGGCTATACGAGAGCGGGTGGAGCACGTCAGTTTCCACTGCGGCGAGCACGTAAAATTTCGGATGGGGCTGCTGGCGACTACACTCGACGGATGCGACGTGCTGCTGGGACGGGACTGGCTGCGACAGTACAACCCGAGAATCGACTGGACGACGGGCAGCTGCAGCATCAAGATCGATGGGCACTATACCGAATTACCGAAATGGATGGGACCCCGCAGGCGAAGCACCCAAGTCCACGCGGTCACCTTCAAGCGCGCGATAAAAGCGGGAGCAGCAGCATACGCCGTCGATCTTCGCGAAGTGACGTCGCCGATAACAGCGGAAGATATCACGAAGCTGTGTGAAGCCGTCCCTCCGGATTTAGCGGAACTCATTCGAAGATACCCCGAGATTTTCCCGGACGACCTACCCGCCGGGCTTCCCCCAAGCCGACCCGAAGACCACCGCATCGAACTCGAACCAGGCGCACAACCGACAGTACAGCGACAATTTCGGCTCAGCCAACCGGAACTCGAGGAATTACAGCAGCAGTTGGATTACCTCCTGACGAAAGGTTTTATCCGCCCAAGCACATCCCCATACGCCGCCCCCATACTGTTCACACCGAAAAAAGATGGCGGATTCCGTATGTGCATCGACTACCGCGCACTGAACCGCATCACCATCAAGTCCTGTTACCCGATCCCGCGAGCTGACGACCTACTCGACCAACTTCGCGGAGCCAAAATCTTCTCGAAAATCGATCTGCGCGGAGGTTACCACCAGATTCGCGTCGCCACTGAGGATTGCCACAAGACCGCCTTCCGAACCCGCTACGGTAGTTACGAATACTTGGTGATGCCTTTTGGGCTCACGAACGCGCCCTCGACTTTTCAGATGACCATGAACGGTGTTTTCCGCGAACGCCTGGATAAATGCGTAATTATCTACCTCGACGACATCCTAATCTACAGCCGCAGCAGGGAGCAGCACTTAAAGGATCTTGATGCGGTCTTCACGCTGCTGCACAAAAATCGGCTCATCACGAAAGGGTCTAAGTGCGATTTCCTTCAGCAAGAGTTGGAGTTTTTGGGGCACGTCGTCTCCACCGAAGGCGTGAAAATCGACCCCAGGAAAATCAAGACCATACAGGAATGGAAGCCGCCGACCAACCTCAAGGAACTCCAAAGTTTTCTGGGTTTTGTCAACTACGTCCGCCGCTTTATCCCCAATATGGCAGGGTTATCTGCACCACTAACGGACCGATTGAAGGATCGCGATTGTTTTTGGTGGGGTGAGAAGCAGCAAGCTGCATTCGACCAACTCAAAATCGCCCTCACGTCCCCGCCCGTACTTCGCATCTCCGATCCCAACCGTCCATACGAAGTCGTCACCGACGCCAGCGACATCGCCATCGGTGCAGTTCTACTACAGGATTTTGGCGACGGGTTACAACCGGTCGCCTACGAATCACGGAAGCTGCAAGGCGCGGAGAAAAACTATACAGTGCACGACAAGGAGATGCTGGCGATCGTCCACGCGTTTAAGACTTGGCGGTGCTACCTGACCGGAGCTGACGTCACGGTGCGGACGGACCACAAATCCTTACAGTACCTGCGCGCCCAACCGAATCTCAACCCACGACAGATTCGATGGCTCGATTTCCTCGAGTCCAACTTCCACTACACCATCACCTACAAACGAGGTGCCAATAATATCGCCGATGCCTTGACCCGCCCTACAGTCCATACCGCCGCGATACTAATCGCCCAGACCAACCCATTACTTACGGGACTATTCACCCACGGCTACAAGATTGATCCCTTTTTCCGCTCAGCCATCCATCAACAGCATACCACAGCCACCGGGCCATATTTTTATAAGCATGGCACTTCTCGCATTTGGGTACCCGGCTACGATTTACTTCGTACCCTCCTAATCCAGGAATCCCACGACAACCCTACCTCAGGACACTTCGGCGTCGATAAAACCACGAAGATGTTGCAGCGGAATTATTACTGGCCAAACATGGCCGATGACGTGCGCAAGTACGTGTCCTCCTGGACTGCCTGCCAGATCATGAAATCGTCGCATCAGCGAGCAGCCGGACTACTACAGCCGTTGGATCCACCCGAGCGACCCTGGCAACACGTTACGATGGACTACGTGACAGGACTGCCGGCCGGCCCCAGCGGAAACGACGCCATCCTCGTGGTCGTTGACCGACTCACAAAAATGGCGCACTTCATCGCCTGCCAACAGACAATCACTGCCGAACAAACTGCGCAACTGTTCATCGCGAACGTCATCCGACTGCACGGACCGCCCTCTGCCATCATTTCGGACCGCGACCCAAAATTCACATCGAATTTCTGGCGCCACCTGTGGGACCAGTTCGGCACCAAACTCCAATTTTCATCCGCCTACCACCCACAAACCGACGGGCAGACCGAACGCGTTAACCAAACCATGGAGCAGCTCATTCGCACTACCTGTACTGACCCCTCGACATGGGAGAAATCTCTACCGCTACTCGAATTCGCGTATAATAATGCGACCTCAGCTACAACCAATCACTCCCCATTTTTCCTCAACTATGGACAGGACCCGGTAGTACCCTCTACACCGAACATCGAGTCACCAGTGCCCCGGTCCCAGAAATTTGCTGAAGACATTCTCGCCACTCGCGAAAAAGCAGCTGAGGCCATTCGGAAAGCTAACCTAGTTGCAAGCCGACAAGCCGATCGACATCGACGCGACGTCATTTACAAAATGGGCGATCTGGTCCTCCTCGACACCCGCAATTTGCGGCTGCCGATCCCGAGCAAACTCCGACCAAGATTCTGCGGACCT